ATAATATTCTATGCTAGATAGAGTGGATGGCTAAATAGCCGTGCGGCGTTTTTCATAAGTTGACTTCGATGTAATAAATCTATCGGCATAGATTGGCCATAACTCGGCGTGAACTGCTTGAGACCTCCGATTTGTTGAAAGTCATCCTTTTGCATGGAATAAGTTGGTCGTCGATTGATTGTGGGTAATTAATTTCGAGCCACCGTGAAGGTTCATCAAGAAATTTACTTGATATCCTTTCAAAGCTACTATAATTAGAACTTTGATGATATAAATTGTACGTTGTGTAAAGAAAAATCTGAAGCTTGGGCACGAAACTGAGATTCATCGAAAATATGACTTGTGCGTAGCTGAAAAGTTGTAGATTATGTAAGAACAAAAAAGAAATCTTTAGTTCGAGCAGTTTAACTTGCGTTCGATTGTAAAATACGAAGGTATAAACTGAAGAGGTACGCAAATATCGATGAATAAGTGCAAAAAAACTTGCTATTCAACACTAAATGAACTGACGAAGCAGTGCAAATGTAAAAACTCAATTGCAACATAATCTCATCTTTTTTTCTTAATTTTGTTTATTCATTCGATCAAAATGCAACCATGAAAAGCTTTTCTATTCGTCATCGTTAGATTTGCTTAATTGCCACTCCTATTTAAATAAGCTTACCGAAAAGAATTATCGTAAATAGGAGAGAAGTGTCAAACAGTCTTAGACACGTCGATATGTCGAAATAAGTAAAAACAACGATGCGGACGACATGTTATGAGATGGTTACATAAGTTGTACAGTACGCAAGAAAGAAAAGGAAAGCAAGAAAGGTTATAGAGGACGTATGCGAGAGTAACTTCGATTCCCTAGTATTTAACACGTGGCAAATCATCGTACAACAAACATTATTTGTCCTTTCACTCAAGTGACAGGGTGTAGTGTATTGTCGTTGAGACTTGTCCGATTAACACCAACATGACAACCCCGATTATTATTGATTTGGATAGTTTCAATACGAATGATATGATATTGGCAGCTAAGTCTCTTGGTTATTTCTATATCCAACGGTCGTCAGCGTCTTGTGGGGAAGTGGATGACGAAAAAACTCTACGGATACTTTGTGACGATTTTTTTAATCAATCTTCGCAAATCAAATGTTCTTACGGTTCGAGTTATATCAAATCAGATCACTCGGATGAACAACCATTTGAAAAAGAATCGTTTATATTGAATCAAACAAACACCAATCCGGAGATAATTCTTCTGAAAAGTTTATTTCAAAAATGTGAGCAAATCGGCCAACGTCTCGAAGAAATTCTCCGCCCAACGAACGACTCGTCATCCTCATCAGCTGCATTGAATACATTAGAATTGAATCATTACTCTCAAACAAACGAAGAAATAATCAAAGATGAGAATGAAACATCTTTGTACGAAATACATCTACTCTCAACATTCCATCTCGAATACTTCGATGCATCAAAACAGGAATGGAGATCTAATTTGAATCTCAACGATTACATTTTAGTTACATTGCCGAATTTAGTTTATCGATATACAAGTAGTGATTTCGATGAAGATTTCTCAAATTATACAATGAAATATTCTTACTATTCCCGAAATAATCTTGTGAAAAAACGGACTTATTTTCTTAGTTTAACAGAAAATACTGGCCTTCGATATTTTACATTCTTTTATCTATATATTATGCAAGGTGTTCCAGCTGGATTCTCTTCCACTGCGCTAGCGAATTATCTAACTGGTAAATCGTTTTTTTTTTTCGAAGAAACAAACAATTTTTGTCTTTTCAAATCATAGCTGAAGGACAAACTTCTTCGACAATTGGAACATTCGTCTCACTTTCAGGTCTACCATGGGTTTGTTGCATCATTCATTGAAAACATCTTCATCCGTTCATTTCTAGGCACTTCAATTTGTTTGGGGGCCAATGATTGGTAAAGACACGTTCACACGAGATTGTCATTCATCTTCGTTTAGATCGTTTTCAATCATCTCCAATGGGTCGTCGTCGTCCGTGGATACTTCTCGCGCAAACATGTGCCTTTCTTGCTTCACTCGGTCTATTGTTTGTTGGTGACCCTCCGACACAATATCTGAAAACGTTAGTGGTCGCTTTCTTCGTGCATTCGATATTTGCGTCGATTCAAGATGCAAGTGTAGATGCGCAGGCTATCACAATAATATCCGTTCGTGAACGTGGAAGAATCAACGGAATCATGCGTGGAGGATTTCTGATTGGAGCTGCTGCTGGTGCGGCGGGTTTGTCGTGGATTTTACGGAATAAAGGATACCTAACAGCGGCGATCATCAATTCATCTGTTTTGTTTTTCTTTACCCTATTAACGATTTTCATCAAGGAAAAATCCGATGATCACCTATTTCCATGTTCAATGAAAATGAAACATCGAAGAAAATACCAACCAGTCTATGATTACTCGATTCTGAAGTTGTTCAAAGAACTATTCAAAGGATTATTATCAAAACAATCACTGCAATTATTTATTCCAATTGTCATAGTTTATTTAAGTCAGGCAATATTTATCCGAGCTTATAATAGTAAGAAAAGTTTGAAAAAAGGCATGATTATCTCATTTGTTTCTTTAAATAGTTCATCTAATCAACGTATTGGGATGGACTGACACGTCAGTTTCGATTCTTTCTGGTGCCTATGGAACCTTAATTGTTGTTGGTGTTGTACTTACCAGCGGATGGCTTGCTGATCGAATCGGAGCGCGTCGTCTTCTTCTCATTGTGATAATCATGCATGCTTGTTACATGCTCATTTCGAATCTGATCGAACCACTTTGGAACAGACGACCGGTGGCGACAACGGTATTAATTCTTTGGAGCATGATGGATCCAACTCTCTCGGCAGCCTCCATGCCCGTACTCATGTCGCTATGTCAAAAGCATGTCGAAGGTAATCATTTGTATTGACTTGAACTGAATGTTTATCTGTTTTTGAATGAGAAAAGGTTCACAATTTACAACTTACATGTCGATAGTAAATTTGAGCGATTTACTTGGAGCTTTTATCTCAGGTCAATTGCAACAATTTTTCCCCGCAAATGTTATCGGTATCGGCTGTGGAGTTCTCATTATTATTGCCTTGATTACTGTGGCACTAAGTCTCTGGTGGAGTCGTAAACGTCTCCGAAAGGTGAAAATTGAAATGAAACCCTGATTCAACGTTCTTGTCCATCGTGCTTCATTCCTCAATGTCGTTACTCGTTGAAAATATCTGTGCGAACATGAATTTCTTGAATTCTTTCTTTTTTTTAAATATAGATAGAAAATTAAAGCAAAATAAAGGATTTCTTTCTTGTCATCATATCCAGACAGTATTTGCAATAGTATTTTTTTGCCGTTGGCATATACACTCGATGAATGCGATAATTTAAACTACACATACAGGTATTCGTAACAACATGAGTTTTTCTTTCTTCGATTATCTATCATTTTATTTTGGAAAATTTCTTTGAATATAAGATAGCACGTTGGCCAAATAGACCTTCATCAAATATGTGATCGAAAAACCAACGCCGTTCCGACCAGAATGTCGAATTGAATTGTTCAATAGCTTTCATGCAATGACTCGGCGATTTAAATAAATCTATATAACAGGATAGCTTTAGCTTAAAATTGTGTAAATGTGGGATGAAATGTGTAACCAGTTGTTCCCATCGATTAGCATCGAAATATTCTTTGAAATCTTCTATTGTCATATGTAAAACTTCAACCGATGGAAATATATTTCGTATCATAACTTCAAATTGACCAAAATCAATGTAATCAGAATCTACTGAGAGATATGTTAGGTCCTTCAATGGTATCGTGTATGATTTAATTTGTTCTTTGAAGTCTTTTGAGAGATGAGGAACTGTCAAGCGACGAAGTTTAGGCACGTACGATAAAAAGGTATAAAATTCCGAAAAGCTACATCGATCGTTAATGATGAAGATTTCAATCGGACTGAACTCGTTGGTTGCCAAAGGTAACAATTCACATTTATTCATTTTATTGAATGAAACGTGACAGTATTTTAATCGAGGTAAGCGAAATATTTGTTCATAAATCAAACTTTTGTTTTCAATCGGATGTTTGCAAAGAAGTGTCAACGAGACGAGATTGGATAAGGTGGGTAGATATTGAAGTAAATTCTGAAAATATACCGATTTACTCACATTATGGAGGGTTAATTCTTTCAATTGAAGTAATTTTAATGGAGCCGAACTGGGTGAAAATATTGAATCGATCATGAATGCACTCGAGACTTGCAAAGATTTGATTTGCTGTTGATGTGGGATAACAGTGTTTGTGTAATGATCTTGAAAAGTTAATTTTGACATCGAGGAAAGATCGATTTTGATGGGAAATACTGGATCGTGGAAAAGACGATAGAATCGATAGTTCAGACCAGAAAATGCTTTGAATGTATTACAAAAATCGAGGTATTCAAAGATTTCGAATATCATCTCAGTGGATAAATCTTCGAAATACGTCATCGTTTGCATTCACGTAATCAACACGAAGAGAAACAGAAAAGAACGAGAGCCATCTATTGAGTAAAAGGCTGTGTAATATATACACACACATTCAGGTTGGTATATACCATACAAATCATAGAGGAAAAATCGAAAAGCTTATAGGGGAAGTAGCCCAGTGTGTTCGATTAGTAACCAAGTATCGTGAACTACTAATTTTCACGATTCTGTTCATTTAAAACCGAATGTTGTGTATAAAACCACCTGGATATATCAAAGTTCATTTGAAGGTTATTAAGTATGAATCTTAATCGTTCTTATACTCTGTCTGTTATTTAAGATCACATTGAATAACATATATTTCATGATCAAGAATATAAAATGTCTTTCAGATTCTCAGTGGTATGTCGATTTACCAGTGGGTGTCAGAATTTGCAAGAGATTCTTCGGATATTTAAAAGAGCAAATATTGACAACGATGTGAAAAAACACATTCAGTCGAAGCAAAAATGAAATCTATGACTATTACGATGCTTATCGTGGCGTTGATCTTTGTTCAAGCTGCGTATACATATTCGGATGGTGATGCTTATCTTCGCCTCCTTAGACGTCTCATGGATGAGAAACAACTGGAAAAGCGAACAAATAATTATGTTCAATGTTGGAGTGATTACAATAGTAAAGGCACATGCTGTGGAACAGTTGATATGCGAGGTGTTCCAACAGGTAATCTGGATAATCATTGCACCGTGCAACTTGGAAATTGTTGCTATCGTGGTGTCCAAGGTCGATGTCATTGGCAATTTGGAGCAGTATGTCCAGCTGGAAAATAAATGAACACATTCATCTCTTTTACTTTGTTCCTACATCTTTCTTATACGAATCTTATGATACGAGTATAGCGAAACCGGATGAAAAATATAGAGCTCTGAAACATATATACATTCATGTATCTACGTTATTTGTGTGCTTGTAAGACTAAATCCTCAACTATATTCAGCAATTCATGTATGGCTATTCGAGACGAAGAAGATTCTTTTGACAACGGTCTCAGAACATTGAAATTTTCTTACTTCTTTTCTTTTCTTTTTGTCAAATTAATCTTCTGTGATGGCCACTCCAATCCATCCCACGTAACTCTGAAGCGCAGGGTAAACGCGCTCAAGAGCGTCTAAAATGAGAAAATGTTTCATTCAGGAATCATTAAAAAATCCATTTTCAATAATACGTAGTTTCTCTTAGCTTATGATCGTGCTTCGACAGCGACTATTAAACATTTCTCGTACAACAAAATGACTGCTGCTGCTGCTATGCTTCAATTAAATTCCCGGTATATCAGTATGGATAAAAGTACGACATGGACTTGTCATGAAAATATCAATCTGTCGCTTGATCGTGGATAAACGAACGCCTCTTCTAGAAACTGAAATTTTTGTGTCGATATTGTTGAAACAGTTGCACTCATCTCAGTATCACTTATTTTTGTTGGCGTATTTATAAATATTCGATGAAGTGTCCTTTTATCAGTTTGCCATTGTATATTGCGGTATGAGAAATGAAAGTGTATAAATGTTACAGATCTTTTTTATTATTTTCTAAAAAAACATTTCCTATTTCGCGTAATTCTGTTCTGGTTTTTTCACTGATTTCGTCTAAAAAAGTTGACTTCGGTTTGGTATGATTTGATTTATCCATCGTAGCATTAGCAATTGATGATATATAAATATTCCATATAGTACCAGCTAGACTGCCGACAAACGGTCGGTAATCGAGTGGCACAAATCGAAAATTGATAAACGAAACAAATGGCCAATAGCATGTTCCAGTTAGAAACGTTTTCACTAAATCATTTTTAATCTTCATCTTTGCTTCGTGAAAAGATCGGCCATTTAGGAGGGTGACCGAGACAAAAACAAGACATATACCAATAGGAGCAAGTAATGTATTAGTCAGCATCTTCTTTACAATTTGAGCACCTTGCTTTCCTATTAAGACAAAGCAACAATTGTATAGAATACTAAAACATTCTTTCTAATTTACCTGGAAATAGATTCTCGATGAATCTTGAAAGTGTGAAATTCCAAGGTGCAACGACGAATGTCGATGAAACACACATAACTAGAGAACGTTGCTTATCCCACCATGGTAATATGGAAGAAGACGGTGAATGAAACAGATTCCTTTGTTTATTTCTTTCGAAATATTGACAGATGAAATCTCCTATAGTCGCACTTGTGCCAATTCCGATCGTTGAGATCAAATAAGGTTTGACTAAACTTCGCCATCCTATAGTACGACATCGAAATATGAAAATTTCATTCAAATTACTGGTGACATACCGCGCTGATTACGTCCAATAGCTTTAGTAACATCGAAAGGATTGATAATCAGGCTGGAAAGAGATCGTGTTTGTTGTAAATGTCGACAAAACAAAACGAAGCGATATGCCATATAAATATGTTGTCCTGATCAATACATCCAAAGTCTATGAATCTGTTTTTCTTCTTTAGTTGAATGCACTCTTTCTATCATGACGTCATATCTACTATTTTATTTTGCTCGTTTTCTTTCCATGCAAATCATGACTCATTTTTACACAGAACATGAGGAGAAAAAGACAAAAAAATACCATGCGATTATTTTGAGAGCGGGCGGTATATCATCTATATCGAATTAATCATGATTTTGTAGCTATATAATATAAAATAATAGAAATGCGTTTATTTTCGGAGAAAAAGAGAGGATGTTCATGCAGATCAAATCAGCAAAATGTATTTGTTTACGAGAAAAGAAGAACCAGTTAGAGATCGTAGTGAGCATGTTACCATTGTTAGCTATTGAATGATCTGATTTCTCGATAACCATCGCATTCTTTCAGTCTCTTAGAAGAATATTGTGTATATGCGGCAATAAGAATTCTTCATGAACTCTCGACCATCATCTTTAAAATTTAAATATAAACAAATAAAAACTTGTCTGACTACTATCATCAAGCTTTGTACGTAATCACAAAATATACTGAACTCGTAGCTAATAAAGTTGCTATCTGATTACAGATGTTCCAGTCGAAAATATGGACTGAAAGAGACGAACGAATAATCTATATTGATACCATCTTTTTAGCAACAAAAAGACTGTAATCGAAATGTAGAGATGTTTTTATTTTCTGACACATGATTTTATAACTATAACATAACGCGGAAAACTAAATGATGCATATCAATCAACTGAGAACAAAAAAAAACATTCCTCGACCATTCATTAGTATTTGAACAGTGTTTTATGGCCAATGCAAGTCTTTGGACTTGGGGTAAAAGCAGTTGTTAATCGATGAGCAGCAAACCTCATGAAAGCTCGTCCGTCACCTTTCAAAGTAAGGTCTAACTTGTTGAGAAATTGCATCACCCATTTTTGACAATCATCACTTCCTACACTGTATTTTTCACCGTTCAGAGGTACCCTCTGCGCTTTCGTTTTGATCTCTTCTTTGCTTAAATTGCATTCCCCAAGATAACAATAGAAGATAGGACCGCGATAACTGAAATCTGTGATGTCGTAAGAAACACGGTCATTTCTGTCGATTATCATTTCATAACATATATATTCATCTGTATCTTTGAAATGACAAACTATTTGCCAATGACTGAGTGACACATTTGGAACGTAAACACTGAGCTGAGGTCCTTTGAATAACACGAAAACATCAACGTTAGAATGATCAGCAACTAAGGTTCCTCCTCCAATCAGTGATCCTAAAAGACCCGAAATAAGACTTGATGCCATGAAAAGTTTAAGCGTTGTTTGATTGATTCTTCAGATGATTAAACTATGCACAAATCGGGTCACGTCGATCGATAAAGTATTGTCAATGTAGAAATTCAAGAATAATACTTATTCGTACGTAAGCGAGATTATCAGTTCTAATCACAATAATAAAGTCAGTTGGTTTGATAGACAAGTAACTTCCAAGCTCTTTTTGCGACGAAATTTTAACACTTGTAAATAATATCTGAAGGTTTCGTCTTATTTCACTTCATATTTATAGAATATATGTGTACCGAAGGAAAATTCCTTTCAGTCGTTTGCTTTTCTCTTCTCTTGCATGGATATTTCCATTCGTTCTGTTAACTGTTATGCTCGTACATTCATTCCATAGTTGGTATATTCTGGCGATAGGATTCACCTATTGTCATATACGAAGGAAAAGAGAATGGATTTGAGTCATTTTGATAGAAGGACATTGGGCGATGACTTCCACCAATGTGATGATGAAATCGTAACACTACAGGCCAAATTTCACGGAGAGTGGAAATGACGGCGAGGATCGAACGGATATTGTATGTGGGCAACGTGAATTTGAATATTAACGGACACGTCTGGAGCACTGGGGAACATAAGATAAGTTTTCGAGAAACTTATTAAATCATGTGCGACACAATACTTACCGTACAGCAAAATCGACATATTTATTTCATTGAAGTTGATACTTCTGTTAGTTTTATTTTTACAGAAGATTTTTCTGTAACAAGCGTCAATATAAATAAAATGTATGCATCTCTAAATTCTAACATAGAAATCGAATTCGAATACCTTCTGAAATTAATGTTCGCAGTCGTAACGTATAAAAATGCCAATGAACTCATTACGACGAGTAGAGGTAATACGTGTTTTTCTCGATAAATATAATTCGGATAGTCGGTATTGTTACCAACAAATGTACAATTCTTGGATGAAAAAATGGGATAGAGTGCAAAAGACAGTAGCGTGTACAGTGAAGAACAGCAATATATTTTTACTCAAATTTCAAAAGCGATTGATACAAATAGGTTGAATGATGGAGGACAAAGTTGAGTGTATCGTTGCTGCATTACTGTCTAATCGTATGGTTTTAGTTTTCGATGGCCAGAGCAAGATTTTACAGATGGTGTTAAAGCAGTTGTTAATCGATGAGCAGCAAACGCCATGAAAGCTCGTCCGTCGCCTTTCAGAGTTAGATCCAAATTGTTAAGAAATTGTTTTGCCCATTTCTGACAATCATTAATTCCCACGATGTATTTTTCACCATTCACAGGTACTTTCTTCGCTTTCTTTTTGATTTCTTTTTTGGTTAAATCGCATTCTCCAAGATAGCAAAAGTAGATCGTACTGCTATAGTGGAAATGTGTGATGTCATAAGTAATACGGCCATCTTTATCTATTATCATTTCATAGCATCTATATTCATCTGTATCTTTGAAATGACAAACTATTTGCCAATGACTGAGTGACACATTTGGAATGTAGACACTGAGCTGAGGTCCTTTGAATAACACATAAACATGCACGGCATCATCATCTTCTGATGACGATGAGCTTGATTCGTGTCGCTTTGACTTAATTTTAGAAAATAAAGTGCCTGGTACTTGAGTGGGCACTCGTACCCTCACTGTTTCCGTAGTGGGAAGTCGAATACCCGACATTTCTCTCGGTTTTGATCCAAATGGCGGCGAATTGAAGAAGGACTGCATACAGAGTTCAATATATTATTCAAGTATTGGAATTATTCGTAAATTAGACCACGCAGAGGAATATAACAAAACTAATCTAAAAAGAAAAGATTAACTATACTAATTAGTATAAGTTCGACTGTATGATTAATAAATACATGTCCTCGTCCTTTGTATAGGTAAAAATTACGAGTGTTGCTTCATCTTTACTTTATAGCTAAGATAAAAGACAAAGATCGTCTGTAGTCTTTATAAAACAAAGATAAAGTAACACCCCTAATAGAAGTGTAGCATTGATGAAAGATGCAATCAAACTAATACGAAAGCTTTCACTTTACTTCATTTCATTTAAATACTTGAATAATAATGGAAAATTTCTCGTCATTTTTCGTTCCTCCCTGCTCTTGCATGGGCTTTTGCCAGATTTACAATCATTCGTCATACTGTTAGTATATTCCAAAGACGTCAATAAAATTGCGATAAGATATGTAAGAAAAACATAAGATATCAGTCATTTTCATAACACTCTATTAGCCAAGAAACTTTATTAGTGTATTACACTGGGGTCATATTAATATAATCCAGATTCGAGTAGGAGAATAGTGATGTGATTAAAGTAATCCACGGGAACAGCTGATATATCTGTAAAATGTAAACATAACGCATTGCAAAGCAAAAGAATTTTTTTCGGACAGAGGTTCTATTCTCTAATTATGGCATAAAGCTTTGCACATACATGGAGAAAGTGGAAAATAACGACGATCTTTGTGTACAAGTCAAATTCAAAGTACTTTTTGAGATCATAGCAGATAAGAATACCGATCAGCTCATAAAGGAAGTTGTAAATTTCAATCACATTTCTACTGAACGAAGCATTTGAACAAATGTTGTATTAAAGCAGTTCAAGCTTTATGCTCCGAAAGTATTAGAACTTTCAATGATCCCTATCGTTTACTTCTATTCGAAATGAATTTTAGAACATTGTCCTATCAAGAAAGAACTGTGACTTGCACATGGATGAACCGATGTGAATCGTAAATAGAGTTCAAATGAAATATCTCTTATTTCAGGCTTTGTTGGCCATCCAGTCTACCTTTTCCATGCATTGCCTCGGGATAGATGATCATGCGGATTAAGAGAGCGGTTACGTGACGGTCTTTTCATCTAAGCATGAACTTGTCATCTTACTAGAAGACTTTCAAATAAACTACTATTATAGTGTACTAATGCGGTCTGGAAACATCCCAATCACAAGATTTTATTTCAACTTGCGTTTTGAAAATGCCTTCACTGATGTTTCAGCGGCTTACTGTAAAATTTATTAAAAGAGAACATCACTATGCGTTGAACTAAACATGTCTTGTTTGATGACAAAGCATATTACACTTTTATCAGAAAATTTAGGAGCATCACCGTAGTGACCGATGACCGATACACGTTCTTGTCGATGGAGCAAACATAGTAGTTAATCGATGAGCAGCAAACGCCATGAAAGCTCGTCCGTCACCTTTCAAAGTAAGGTCTAACTTGTTGAGAAATTGCATCACCCATTTTTGACAATCATCACTTCCTACACTGTATTTTTCACCGTTCAGAGGTACCCTCTGCGCTTTCGTTTTGATCTCTTCTTTGCTTAAATTGCATTCCCCAAGATAACAATAGAAGATAGGACCGCGATAACTGAAATCTGTGATGTCGTAAGAAACACGGTCATTTCTGTCGATTATCATTTCATAACATATATATTCATCTGTATCTTTGAAATGACAAACTATTTGCCAATGACTGAGTGACACATTTGGAACGTAAACACTGAGCTGAGGTCCTTTGAATAACACGAAAACATCAACGTTAGAATGATCAGCAACTAAGGTTCCTCCTCCAATCAGTGATCCTAAAAGACCCGAAATAAGACTTGATGCCATGAAAAGTTTAAGCGTTGTTTGATTGATTCTTCAGATGATTAAACTATGCACAAATCGGGTCACGTCGATCGATAAAGTATTGTCAATGTAGAAATTCAAGAATAATACTTATTCGTACGTAAGCGAGATTATCAGTTCTAATCACAATAATAAAGTCAGTTGGTTTGATAGACAAGTAACTTCCAAGCTCTTTTTGCGACGAAATTTTAACACTTGTAAATAATATCTGAAGGTTTCGTCTTATTTCACTTCATATTTATAGAATATATGTGTACCGAAGGAAAATTCCTTTCAGTCGTTTGCTTTTCTCTTCTCTTGCATGGATATTTCCATTCGTTCTGTTAACTGTTATGCTCGTACATTCATTCCATAGTTGGTATATTCTGGCGATAGGATTCACCTATTGTCATATACGAAGGAAAAGAGAATGGATTTGAGTCATTTTGATAGAAGGGCATTGGTCGATGAATTCCACCAGTGTGATGATGAAATCGTAACACTACAGGCCAAATTTCACTGACAGTAGAAATGACGAGGCTTGCAATTTTCTATTGAATCACTGCAAAAATCGTCAAAAGTACTTGGATTTTTCTTTATTGATATTTTGAAAAAGGATCGATTTGCAAACTATTTCGAAGTTCTTACTAGATGTATTATCGGTAGAATACTGAAAATCAGAAACAATAAATTCTTTGGTTATGTTCATTATAAAAAAAAGACAAGTAGTTCATCGAAAGAAACGTTAATTAGTCGAATTCTACTTTTGGCTGAGAGTATTCTGTTTATATTGATGGAATACGATCGATAGCGTATCATATATCCCTAATTACTTTTGTTCTCGGATCGCAATAGATGTTCGAGTCATGGATTCATGTTCATCTACATGTATATATATCCTTGGAAAGTCTTCAAAATAGACTACTTCATATGATCAAATAGCAAAAGACAAATGTCAAATTCAACGAGTAGAACAACTGTATTTGATGTTATTCGAACGATAAATATTCTCAACGAGATGAACAAATATGTTTACGTTCTACTTTATATTCTTGGAACATGTGGAGCTGCTTTAAACATGATAACATTCCTTCAAAAACAACTACGAAACAAGCCCTGTGCTGTTTATTTCTTGGCCACATCAATAGTCGATCTTAGTACTGTAAATGNTTTATTTTTAAGCCGTTTTATAAGAAAATATATATGAAAAAAGTCATTTAGATGTGCTTCCGAATGAACAAAATTCTTCAAATCTGTCGTCCCTTTTGTCTTGAGGTTCATGGAGAGCAAGCATGATATTTATAATGTCTCTTTTTCAATTACTTGTTTATTAATTCGAAGAAATATCTCTACACAATAACAACAATTTTCGTTGATTTCTATCGATTTCTATTGATTTCTATTGATTTCTTATGATTTCCACGATTTCTTATGATTTCCACGATTTCTTATGATTTCTTGTGATTTCCAGTTGATTTCTAGCCTGGAAATCACTCTTTTCCCCCTTGTATTTATATTATAAAACACAAACAAAATATTAGCGACGTAATAGATTGACGTCATACAGCTATGAGTAATTCGAATTGTTTACTGTAACAGTAATGATATCACATGTGTTTGTACTTTTATCTTTTTACCTTGCTTTTCCTTCATGAAGAAGTAGGAAGTGGATAGTTTATGAATAGAATTCAAAATCCATGTTCAAACAAGCTACCGATAGTCTGTAATAGAATGATGATTTGACGTGATCAGAGCCACAAAAATCTGTCATTGTTGAGGACAATTAAATAGTATAGCAGGAAATCCACATATCTTTATCACTGTAGTTCTTATTGATGAGAAGTTCTTTCGTGAGTGGTGAAGAGTTCAGAGCAGTTCTCAACAAATCACCCTTCATAATATTTATAAATACTTCGAAATTAAGTTCCATCCAATGTTGACAGCATTCCTATGATTGTCTTCCTTTGGTCCTCACCCTGAATAAGATGAACATTCTTGGTAAATGATTAACGCCCTCTTCAATCAATGAAGTTGTTCATAGCAAAAACCGCTGCTTTTTAAGCTTTGCTCAATAGAAAAGTCATTGGATGGGAGGTGTTTTCCACGCTTTCGATAGCACTGAATTTCAAGCTGGAGGGATAATTCATACTCACCCTCGTCTTCGATAAACTGTTCCTAGTCTGAAGAAAACATCGTCTATTTTCTCTTCGTCGAAAGAAGGACGAGGGTGAGGGTGATCATTGTTTTTCCTTCTCTCATCAATCAGACCAAGACACTCTAAACTATCAGCAATGTATGGATGATCTAAAGAATAGAATTCCTTTCGCGTCTCCAATCTTTCTTCGTGCAACTTAAACGATTCTTCGAATTTTTCTTGTTTTTTTTTTAGAAATTGGCCAAGACTATGAGGTACAACAGCCGAATCTTTGATTCGTGGTGGATCACAGCTGATCATTCGATCATAAGATTGATCCAGATAGATATTTGCATCATTCCAATGTTGCGATGCATCTCGAAGATACTTTTGTGTGATTGAGAGTGCATCATTGACGAGAATCATTCGAATGGTCCATCGATGATCGATAAACAGTACGTAGGAGTTGTTGAGTGAAGTTCTTCATCAAATCATCAAGAAAATACCGAAGACGATAAAGATCGTCGATATCTTGTGTTCTCAGTGTGTTGTCAAGCGAATGTTGCTGAAGTGATGTATATAGACGATCAATTTGATCGTAGATGCCAACGCAGTTTTGAGTTAATCATGATAAATAAACTTGTAGTTGTTAATGATATTTGGAGTATAGATAAATAGATAATGGCTTTTCTTGAAGACGTTGATGTGTGATAAAACATCGGAGATCAATAGAGAAAAAGCGATTAGAAATATTCTGTTCGTGTTTTCAGTCGATCAAAGGAAGTTTAGGCAAGGATTGAAATGTTGCTTGAATTCAGCTAGCTTGTCTTCAGCAGAAAGACACAAAATAATTCGACTCCCGCCATCCGTGTGATTAGCGAAAAATTCATCTATTTTTGTTAGCAAATAATCGTTTCACTGTCTGAATAGGCCAAAAATGGATGAGTTTACAGTGCTGTGATATTTGAGTTGATCGTGGTTGGTGAATATATAATTTCACAGCGGCAAGTAAATAAATAAAAGGTATAGTAAGTGTTTCTAGCTATGATTCATTTGTCTCGTTCCGACTCAATATTATTCGATGATTTATTCGACTAAAACGAAAAATATGGTCGAGTACTATGACGAATCGTTTTCTTCCGGATGATTCATTGATCTTGATGGTACATGTTGGTGGCAAACAAAATTTACAGTGACAATTGAGAAATATTCAATACTGTTTCTAAATTATTGCTGATAACTTCGGTTTCTTTTGCGTGAACAATTTATGTCTCTTGGATTATTCGTAAGGGTGTGGCGCAACTTTGTTAGACATTCGATGAGCCGTTCAACCCTCTCGCGACTTTCCATCATCACGAGACGTTCTCTTCTCTTATTCAAGTCATGCTATCGTTTGTTCTTTCACGCATTTCGACCACCGTCTTAGTAATATGAACATATTCATTCGATTCATAAAAGATCATAAAGGACTGAATGCATATATTTTCTTGTTAAAATTGGAAGCTATGAAATTGCGTAGTTTTTGATTTCTACTTTTGGAAAAGCGTTGAACGTTGCAGGTTATATGAAGATGTGTTTACAACGAATATGAACGGGTTATCACTGACAGTTTTGATGAGAAATGTGCGACGTAATTGTCAGTCTGTTAAACAGATTAGCGCGTTCGCATCGTTTCCTCATATTTTTAATTAAATAATGTAGATATTCTCAGCCGTTGGGGCCACAAGTACAAGAAGAAGGACAGATTCATCAGAAAAAGAATTTTTACGTCTAAGTTAAATTAGTTTATTCTTAGAAATGAAGGTGTGGATGTCAGTACCTTTTTATGAGAACTATGCATCATACTCTGTAGGATATATACTGCATAAAAAATGGAATAAAAAGGCAACACTGTTAATTCATTTCCTCTTTGAATTTCTTACAGATCACTTGAAATACTGACAATAATGGTCTCCTTATTGGATATTGGTAAGCAACTCACGCTCTTTCTCGGCTCTTTTCTTGTTATCGTTGGAATCATCGGCAATACAATCAATATCTTAGTATTCTCCAACGGTCGATCTTATCGCACGAGCTCTTGCATCTTTTATTTTTTCGTCGGTTCTCTTTTCAACATTTTGTATATCATGGTCAATCTGATCTCACGTATTGTTATGTCGGGTGATGGAATTGATCTCACTCGTACATCTGTTAGCTGGTGTAAAATCAGATACTTCTGCGTCGCTACTCTCAGTTTGTTGAGTTTAACTTGTTCATGTTTGGCAACAATCGATCAGTACTTTGCCACATCTCAAAATGTTTCTCTTCGTCGTTTGAGTAACATCAAACTGGCACATCGAATTCTCGTCGTGATGATCATTGTGTGGCTTTGTCACGGAATTCCATTTCTAGTATTCTACAACATCTCATCAACTACTAACACCTGTGCGAGTACTAATCTCTCCTTTGCTGTTTACTATCCATCGGTATACTTTATTACTCTGAATTGTACTATTCCAGTGTTAATAATGGTTATCTTTGGATATCTGGCGTACCGAAATATTCATTCGACACGCATACTTGCTGAACAACAAGCCGATCGACAGCTAGTTCGAATGATTCTGATCGAAACACTATTGATCATGATTAGCTACATTCAGTATGGAGTTTATGGCGCGTATATGCTGATGACATCGAATGTGATCAAATCACCAAATCGTTTGGATATTGAAGCATTCGTTTCCACCATGTCTAGTTTGATATATTATTTGTACTTTTCGGTAAGTATGTTTAGTTTTATAGTGGTGTAGATAAATATTTGATTCGTTCTAGGGAAGTTGTTACATGTTTTTACTGTCATCCAGCCGGTTTCGCCAAGAAGCTAAAAATCAGTTACGATTCTGGCGGAAACACAATCAGGTCAATTCAGAACACAAATATGTAAATGGAGGCTGTATAAAATCAATCCATCAATGAGATCCTTCTTCTATCTCTGAAATATTCATCTGTTTAATGTTGTACAGACTTGAACAAACAGAATGAGCGTTAACTAAAATGTTCTTCATCGTGAGAATGCCGTTTAGTCATGACAGTAAATTCGATCGGTTTCGGAATGTTCAGAAACAAAGCGACAATTTCGTTCAACTGGAAAAAACATATGAACAGACATGTAGGCAACGATTGTGTTGACATTTTAATTACCATATAGCACTTGATTAGCTGAAAATAATGAAAGCAGATGCACTTTCAAGATTGTACATAGACAACACTTAAGTATGAAAAATAATACAAACACATATAGCTATGGATCTTCTACTTGAAAATAAAAGAATCAAATTGCTGCAGCAGGTTTTCGAACTTGATGATTTTCTGGTATGGTTCCGCAAAACATGAAACGTACGACGAGCGTTAGCATGTGTATACTCGATTCGAAATTGAGTGATAGGTCTGACGATCTTTCTTTGTGAGTACATACCAATATTTATTAATGAAATTCAATGGTTGTATTCAAGTTTCATTCACCAAATGCTTTCTTCCGGAAAATGTAAATGAGCTAAATCGCACGAGTGTATTGAAATCATATGAATCATAAGCTTTGAGATGATCTACGCATATGATATGGATCTGTTTATCTATATAGTCCCATGTTGTACAGAGACTTGATTACTAGAAGAAATTAAAGTGTATACTACGTATTTCCATCGTCTTTGAAAAGAGTTTTGCGAAAGTTAACAATATTGTTCTATAGACAAATAACTATTCTCCAACCAGTATTGACAGAAGGATTTAAATAATTTTTCATACATCACCTCTCAAGCGACGTGTATATAAGAGAAGCAAAAAGTGCACACCGATATATTCGCACTCTTAAATCAACTACCGAGCAGCTCTCAACGATATTACCTTGTCGAAGTGATCAAATGCGATCAGTTCCACTACTGTTCCTTGCTGTGTTTCTCATAGCACTGAGCTTCTCAGTTTGTAAGTACATGTGTGAATTATTATAAGCTGATTCTATGTTACAATATGCACGTATTGTTTTAGCAGCCAATACGGTATTAGCTGAAGGTGAAAGTCGAGCACTTCGAGTACGTCGTGGGGCTTGTTTCATCGGTTTTGGCTGTCCATTTGGCGGAGGACCATGCGATAGCGGATGCAAAGACAGACGCTACAGACGCGGTTCATGTGCCTTTTTGGAATGCTGCTGTACGAATCATTAGTTTTACATATTTTTGAGTATTTTGGAAGTCCTCATGCTCGTTCCGTACACTAATAAAAAAATTCTCAATATTGAGCCCCCATTGATCTAAAGAATTAATCTGAGAGTCCGAATAATTGAAATTCAGAATTATTGAGTCAAGTACCACAAATAAAGTACCTGAATCGGATGAATTTGCAAGTATTAAGTTTGTTCTCTAACACTGAAATAAGCAACGCAACGTTGACGTCAGTAAACTCAACAAGACAGTCGTCGAAGGTGTTTTAGATCGTTGAAGTTTAGTGACATCTAGCCACGATGCGAATGTTAGTAATCTATACTTATTCCGTGAACTTTTCGGCATCGATAAGTGAGTTACTGTCATTATAGATATACTGGATTACATTATAAAGTGAAAAATTTTACAACAATCGAAGTTTACTTGAGATTCGGAATAAGTAAATTGTAACTATTGAATCGTCTGCCTTGTCGACGTTTTCGAGCGCTTTCTAGCCATAATTGAAAATGTAAAACATCGCCTCCAATTTGCTGTTCATCTTCGTTAATTCGTTCATGACATCGTCCACGATGAGAATGATCATGAATGGGAGGCTTTTGGCTACCTTCACCTTCTTTATTCGAAGTAGCACCTAAGTTAATTGGCAGAACATGGTGCTTTCTAAATGAATGGATATGAAGACCGTGTTTTCGAACAACGGTGACAGCTGATGAATTGAGATTGGAGATTCGTTCGAAATAACACCAATTTCGATTTGGACGGAGTTTTCTGTGAATTACTTTTCTGGCATTTTCCGGTCTCCTTTCGAAAAAGTTGATTATTTCCTCCTCCGTACGATCGACCGGATTCCAATAAGTATTGAACAAATGATAGGCACGAATAGCCATCCGAGATGGAGGCATATTGACAATTGCGGAAGAGATAATTTGATACATCAGTTTGGCGTCATTCACAGGTGCTGGTCGATCGGGTTCCGTCGATTGGAAACGTCCGACACCACAGCAATGAACGTCACCACTGAGATAAGTAATTCGAACTTTTTTCTTTTCGGCTAATTGTTGGAAACGAGTGAGCACTTGATTTCGCTCTTCAATATGTTCATGGTGAATCCATTCATCGAGAAGATCATCATAAAATTCTGGAAGATTAAAAATTGAATTACTCTTTTTGATCAGTCGAGCATTGCGCCATTTGTTAGGAAAATTTTTTACGCGTTCAGTAACTGATTCAGCGACATGAAAACGAATGAACGAAAATGGAACAGGAAACACTACTACTAAGTGTTCAACACCATCCAAGTCATTTTCGAGCCTATCAAAGATCATATCCCACGTTTTCGGATGATGAACTGTTTTGACATCACGTTCGGTCCGACCATCAGCGCCGAGAATGGCTATATGTCGGCCGCAACGAGCAAAGAAATTATATCCTTGATACCCGAATAGCTGATGATCACGTGCTCTGTCAAATGTCGTATGATGTTGAAATAAGAGTCGCATTTTCTGCGCAGCTAAAAACAGTCCCATCATCATAGGACTATCGTGCAGTAGAGGAGGATAAGATCCCGCACCATCAAAAATATCATGATCATCCCACATCATCACGCTGGGAATCGATGAAAGCGCTCGTTTCACTTCTTGCCGACGTTCCCAATTTTCTGCGTAAGTATAGAAATGGTACTGCTCGACTTGTTCTCGAAGGTCATCTCGAAAATCAGTTATCCACTTTTCATTCCAATCCATGTTGACCCAAGCACGAAGAAAGGGAATATCTTCGAAAATAAAGTCAATATAATTCTGATCGCCACCCCATATTAACAAATGCAATGGAGTTTCTTCGTGAACAGAAAGAAGATGATTCCAAACGTTGGAATAAGTCAAATCGGATGCAACCCGTTCGGGAACAGACGAGTCGAAGCCATTACATGAGAAAAAACCTCCACGCCAGTTTTGATCACAACGTGCAATAAGAAACGAACCATTCGTCGTTCGTTCACCCCAGTCGACTTCCCAAGTGACCTTGTCGTCACCCTCTCCTGGGCGTAATTCAATGGAAATATTGATACGATAGGCAATAAAGTCGAATATATTTTCATATAAGATTTCCCAATTGTAATCAACTTTTACATCTGAAGTAAATTCCATTTTCGGCCGAGGATATGAAATATGATGGAAAATCAATGCACTGCCCATCCATAACATCTTAGTTAAGTCTGTTGTAAGAAAATGAAAATACGGACCTAATGCAGGGCCGGGAGATTTCGGTGGACGATTGACGGTAGCTGAATCAGTTGTTGCTTTAGTCGGTGGAGCCATCTGAGGAACTTTTGAAGTGGTTGCTTTGGGTAACGGATAATCACCCATAAATTGGGGATCGACATTGATTGGATTCGGTGCATTAACTTCCAAATCGCCATGTTTATCTACTATTTCATTTTCAGCACTCTTCGATTTGTCATACGCCATTCGTGAATCAACAGTGTTCGAAATAAAAGTAGTTTTATGTGAAAAAGAGGTTCGTTACGATCATCCACGTGCGTTCGTGTAATGAGTATACATATCCTCGGTAGCCCTTTTCTATTATGCACCGAACAAAAGAAAACAATCACTATCTTAGGCATACGAACCTGCGTCAAGCAGTATAATAATCGATCCGCCAATCGATGTACATGTAATCAACGTAAATCATCTTCAGTGTAATTTTATAGTCCATACTTATTAGCATCTTTTATAAATTAGATAAAAGCCAGACATTATCTGTCAGTTAATCGGTTGTAAAAGTAGCATTAACACAATGATTACCGCATCCGCATAATGGATGAGTATTTTTGCGGCGTGCTCGACATTGACTGTCTTTCGCCCAACTAGACCTATGACAGTTCAAGTTTAAAAGAACTGTGATACTGAGTAAATTCCTACTCAGAGAACTCGAAATGAACTGTTGCTGAAGCTATTAATAGAACACTGCTTGCAAAAATAGATGTATCATCGAGGTGAAGCGATTGATAGCCACCCAGGTCAACAAATCCGATCGGACTCCTGGAAATGGAATTGCATTGAAATCCGACTACGGGATTGATCGACCTGGGGACGACTTTTATCGTTTCGTTGAGCAACGTTTAGGTGTTCATCAAGCATTACTTATCAACTTCTGAACGCTGGAAGTATTTATTAAATTTATTGAAACGGTGATGTTCAAATAAAAAAAAGAATTTAATCTTGAAAGAGTCGATTTGAATGATGGCAAAGACTTTATGCTGTATGTGAAATATGGTGCAAATGACGTTGTCGGAGCTAGTATAAAATGTAACTGTGGTCGACTGATTATTTTCACGATGAAAGATGAAAATTTTCCATTGTCCAATTATCGAAAACATCTTTGTACGAAAGGTTGTACTTTTATGAATTTATTAAAGAAAAAATATGGAGAAGGAAAGAAATTGAAACTTCAACAAGCAGTATATGGTTTAACGTCGTTAAACTCGGTGGTACCAGCTTTAGCGATAGCATCGCAACAACAGAAGGATGTACTACAAGTATCTACTGATTTTTTAACAGTTTGTTGTCGCCTTGGGATTCAATTACTTTAGATACTCAATCGACAATGCCTCAAATAAGTATTTGTAAACGCAATCAGCCACCATCTCAATCACTATCTCAAACGGCGAAAGGACATCGTGGTTGAATTATTCAACATTTGTTTTTGAATCAGCATCTTTTTCTGTTGTATTCCATATCTGTCGTACAAGATTTTGCCTGAAACACACGCTTGCCTTTGCTTTCGGTTTTCATAGTATATCGTTCTTCATTTTATATCTAATTATTCTATTATATACGTTTTACATAGCTATATTCCAAGTACGAAGAACGCTGATGTTGGCTCTCAAAGCAAGTGTAACCAATTCATTTCTACAGATTTTTAATCTTCTTTATTCGTTTGCCTATTGTTCTAATTGCTTTATTTGTTTTTTCGAAATGCCTTCTCGTTTTAAATATTAAAAATGGGTGCCACACATCAAGAAGTATACAGAAGTCTGCTTTTACCTCCTTGCCCTCCCTACAGTTGAGGGAATAAGTCTTGATTGGATAATTACAAAACAGAATATAAGTATATTCGACTGTCGTCATGTAGAATTCCTATTTATTGGTTACAAAACTGTGACGCTAACGTCGCTTCTATAAAAACGAAACGATTATGACTCATCAATATGTGATGTCATTTTATTCGTCGTCGTCACGATTATTACTAAAAAATTTTTTTAAAGCAACTAGATCAAGTCCTTTGAGTTGACCACATGCGATGCATATTTCAATGCTGAGACCATCTGAGTCACAAAGACCGGAAACACTTGGAAGATAACCACTAGATTCTTCACCGTTGGCATAAGTAAAAAAATTTCCATCACATGCTTTGCTAACAATTGTTGCTAATGAATCAATAGCATTGCAATTTGGACAACGTTTAACCATGTTTTCCGAGTTCTGTGTTTGGTAGTGTATAATATGAAGGCATTTTATGACAAAGCTTTTTATATCAAATAAGATGTTATTACTGAATTGTTGTGCAATATTACACAGTTGGAAGGTAATTCCGGCTGTGGTCGAAAGTAAAAATGTCGATCCGGCATTTGTGCCGTTTTCACTTTCGACTAAAGTTGAAAGAATCCAGTGAAAATACTGATGAACATCAGAAGTGCATCGTCCACTAGGCAAAATCAACCACCGGTCACCCATCTATGAGAAAGGTTTCATGTCAAAAGTGAAGGGAGTTTGATCTGTTGATCGAAAGGGCATTGTTCATAGTGTAGAAAACATATGTCATTACAAGTTGAATGTTTGTTTGTGAAAGAGGACTGAAGTCCTTTTCTTCTTCAACGACATGTTAGTAGGTACCGATAAGTAGATTTCATTGATTCAAATTTGATACTAATATATGCAGTTTGACTTGTTTTTTATATAAGGACGCGAACTTAACAGAAAGTTCTAATTATCAGATAGCTCGTGCATCGATTGAAAAACTATTTTGAGTTTTCAAGAAATTCCGTAACGAAAACAGCTTATAATCTGTCCTGTTTGCTCGTATTGAATATCAATATTATAAAAATTTCACAGTGAGATAGCTGTTGCCTTCAATATCAACTATATATTGTCATGTAATTTGTTAAAAAATGCTTCGTTACGAAATTTCGTGGATATCATCAAAAAATTCCCGTTTTAGGACTATTGAGTGTTTCAAGGCTGTTCTTACTCATAAAACTTTCATTATGTTACCACTTAGCCTTTTGATTTCTACGCATCGCACAAAGAGACTGCATGTGAATCTTCGAGAATCTTTCGCACTGATTGTACGAGAATGCATGAAAATCAACCATACATGGCCTTCTCAAATTTATTCGAATATGACAAGTGTTTTTGCTTCTTTATCAGAGATGTGACACTGAATACGAAAAATGGAACGGAAAGAATCAGTACTATGTGAGCAACAGTTGTTAGTTTTCACAGTAATGCGATTGATTTTTATAACGCCTACGATAAAAACAGTAAACTCTGAAAACAGAAGATATTTAGACGATGTCGATTTGAAATGTTCGAATTTGCATTGGATTGAGAGTTATTGTTGTCGCATTTAACGAAGATTGTCCTGAAAAAAAATAAATAAATGTCTACGAGTGAGAGTATGACTTACGAAGTGTATTTATGTGTGATGGTTGCTGGTCTTTTGCTGTCCAGTCAAGTCGATGTAGATCAGTCAATGGCAAATTAGCAGTTAATATCAATTCCATCACATCTTTTATGTTACCTATACTTTTGAACATTGTTTGAAGATCGATGGCAGTTGGTTTCGAGTAGAAAGCATCTTCGTTCGCTTCAAAATAGTGTTCGACACGTATAAGATATTGCTTAGGTGACAATTGGTCGAATGTTAACAAATGTACGTTCAATGGCATCGTGTCCAATAGAGCTGACCAGGTTTGACGAAACTTAGTTGAGTAATTCGAAAGCGATGTATTTGGCAAGGAATAAGTTGCTAGTGGATGCATAAATAACTGCTGAGCTGTCGTACGATGCAACCGGGCGCTATCTGATGGTCGATCGAGAACGAGAATATGTTTGCCGGAAATAACTAGACCTTGACCGTAGGCTGTTTCATTTAGAGCTTCGCGGACACCCATCGAATCGTCTCGTAATAATCGACGATGGATCATAATTTCAATTGATCCATCGTACATACTTCCACCACCTTGCGATCGATCTAAAGTAAACGAAGAATAAGGCAAGTTTTCATAGTCACGAATAACTATGAATTACCGGTAAGAATGGTAAATTGTCGGCTTTCGTCTTGAATCCAAATACGGCTATTAATTGGATAATAGTTACTACTAATTGGATCGTCAGGTACATGATGCCATGTTGGTCGATAATCACGAATGCGTTCAAGAACTTGTCGTCCGTTAGCGTCCGTATAGTATTTCTTCGCATTATTGATATTCGTATTAAAACGGATAACAATTTCTTTACCAGTATTGTCATCGACTGGAATTGGTCCCATTATCCATTCGACTTCAACTACTGACGAATTGCGATACAGATTAAACTCATAACTGGCCCATTCATTGAAAACAATCGATGCTTTTTGCATCGTATCAGTGTAAGTACAATTTCTATTGTAGTTTTCATAAAATAAATATAATCAAGTCAAAACAATGACCTACATGCGACGTAATATACTGACAGGTTGCGCTTGTGGAAACAATGGTCGGAATATGTAAGCACCTGACGAGGGTGACACTGCGCTACTGTTGACATGAGCATAACCTTGAATATACCTTAGAAATAAATTTATTTCCGTATTTTGAATGATGTCACTTACCAGTGTACCAATATAAACCTTGCTCGATAAATGAAACGGTCAAATTCTTTGCCAAATTGACAATGCGTTTCAAATTACCGAGATCATCGAATTCCACACGCAAATACTAGTGAGAAACAACACGAAAGTTGCTGACAAGAGCATTAAGGAATGATATTTTACTTCATTTTGTAGAATACATGCTTGGTTTTCTGTTGTTATTACATTCTTCTTGTCATCTGGTCCTTGTTGCCCTTTCGCTTGAAAGTAATAAGTATTATAACCAAGTGCCGGCAATGTTACTTCAAAAAGATATTGATTTTGAGCAGAGCTCATTCGTCCAGGAATATTTTTGGTTGTATTTGGAATTGGAAGATACTAAAGTTATACAAAAAGAATAACACTTCTTCATGTTATACGTAAATTGTTGATTCTGTACTTCAGCTGAAACAAGATTTCCTATTGGATCGTAAATTAAATACTGTTTTGTGACAGGCACTCGATGGTAGACTGTCACCGGATGAATAGTTGGATTCCAAAGTGTCACTGTGAACTATGAATAGACGACAAGTTCTGAGACTCATTTTCCACCAAGAAATATGTACGAACCTGTTCTTGTCCTTCAATTGGAAGACATTCGCTGATATTCGAATATTGACAAAGAAATTGATTAGGAACCGATGCTGTTTGACCTTCTTTCGGTAATAATTTTGCATAGGCACTATTGATCACTTCCTACAAGGATTCTTCATGCTGCAAGTGTATCCATCACATCAAAACGTACTGTCGCTCGGTCAATACCGTCGGAGAGTCGTTGAGTATAATCATCGGCAACATGTTGCTTCGACGTTCCACTAACTGCATCATGATGCTGAGCTAGACCCATCGCTTCGCCTTTTTCAAGAGATGAATATTTGTTAAATTCAACATCTGTACGTATTCTATTCTCTTACTGAAAGAAAAAATAACGTTTCGTCGATTTATCTGCGAAAAACCATTTAGCTGACGGGTCGCTTGAAGAATATTATTAGCATAACGTTCGTAACGTTTCAACGCTGGTCTGGAAGTGAAGTAACCTGTCCAATATACGAAGGGTGTACTGGCATACGGAAAGAAATCATCAGTTTTTGTTGACCACTTCTTTCCGGCTTTATTCAACGCATACAGATAACAGGAGGGCGTTGAATAAAAGACATTCACATCACTACCATTCTCTTGCTAAAACGAAAATCTTGGAAATAATTGAAGGAATCCACGACAGGGCATCTACTTGTAGATTAACATAATGGATCAACTTATCCAAGTTTTTGAAGTTACGATGTGCATTTTCGGCGAAAAAATCACCGCCCATTGTCATAATGATATGATTAGTTGTATAGATTTCAGCCTACTCGAACAAGAGAAGAATACGAGAGAAACTACGACTTTGTTATGAACAAACTTGCGCTAATGCTTCACCAATGAATGTTTCGACGCGTTCAGGCACATTATAATCGTGTAAACTTGGATCATCCTAAAACTATTTAACTGTATCACGGCGATGATAGGATACGATACACATACCATAATCGGCTGATCACGACAAGTGATATCAAAGCAGAATGACGGTGGACCAAAATAATAAAGTGGTAAGATACCCGTGAAAAGCCAATTTTGAGGATCTAAGGAGGTCTTTGAACTATGAATTTACAGAAGGTAAGTACTCACCTAAATTAGAAGTTGTTTGCCAGATCATTTCTCTCGTTCGCTTCGTCGAACGATCGATGAGATCATGATAATCTGCACGTCCGAAAAACAGACCATCAAACCCCATCTGAATGAAGAGCGAAGCAACTTCTCGAGAATGACCAAATGGATCGATCTGCCAGCCAATTTTCGGTCGTGCACAGTCACCAAATGTCTCATACAAAAATTCGGCACCCAACGCATGTTGGTCAATGATTGAATTGTAATGTGTTGTTGCTTCATCAACCATTGACCAGCCACCCGATATAAATTCCAAGCGACCTAGCGCACACACGTCCGGATTAAATCTCATCAGTTCAACTAATACACACCTTCGTTTACCAATTGCTTTACGATGTCACGTGTATCGTTTGATTGTTGGTTCCACCAGCGCCAAAAGAAAGCCATTTCAACGTAAATGAATCGACGGTCAGGATTATCCACCAATGCTTCCATAACTGAGTCGAGAATGTATTGAACACCTCGTTTCTGAATTTCTTTATGTGCTATACAACAGACAAAGAGCAATACAATCATAAATACATGTGACTTACATCCATAGTAGTACTGATCGACTGTTTTCAACCAGCCAACATCATCGTGCGTGTGAACGACAATGTGGACGTTGAGTTTATCCGGCTTGCCCAAATTACACGACTAAAATACACGATTGTATAGCTTTAGAAAAGTTCATATCGGCATATGCTCTTTCCGCGTTACTTCATAACCACAACTGCTTGAAGATCTATAAGGCGCTGCGAGGCTTTTAGTTACAAAGAGTAACAAGAGCACGCAGAACTTGACTATATTCATGTTCTCTAAAGGTGAATTATATTACTTTAGAATGGTGACAAAATGAGAAAAAGTCAAAGATAAGATCTTTATTTACTAAGTAGCTATTCATCTGTGCTACTCAAGGTAAGGTAGAGAAATATAATGTAGACCGCCTTGTTTCAACTATTTCAGTACGCAGAAGATGTTGAAAGTGCGCGGACATGTTGTCTATTGACATACCCAAATTATTTATTTGTATTTATGAATTTCAAAAATAAGTATAGTGTGACCAAATAACACGACTTAATCAACATCGATTCAAAGGAGAAAATTCACAATTCACCACACGCCAAATATACGTGGCTGTACACACTAACAGTTGACGTACTCCAATCATTAGATTCGAGACGATTTCTAACATGAAACCATTTAATCGATAATGACTTGTCGTTGCATTAAAGACCTTGTCAGACATGCTGAGGGTCACGACCGATAGAGTACTAACCATGCTGTTGTAAACAGTTGGTGTCAACCAAACATCTCAGATTACTTTACGATACCACATTAATAAGGTAACAATGAACAAAAATTCCTACGGCGAAAAATGTAGATAAATTTTTAAAAATATTTGAAAACACCTTACCCGGCGGACGAAAGATTGCTGTTATGCTATTTATATCGTAAACAGTTGTTTGTTGACAATCACAATCGCTTCAAGTCTCACTCGGATCATACATCTGATCTGTTCGATGACAAACATATTCATTAGAACTTTGAAGATATAAATTGTACGTTGCGTAAAGAAAAATCTGAAGCTTGAGCAGGAAACTGAAACTCATCGAAAATATGACTTGTGCGTAGCTGAAAAGTTGTAGATTATGTAAGGACAAAAAAGAGCTCTTTAGTTCGAGCAGTTTATCTTGCGTTCGGTTGTAAAATACGAACGTATAAACTGAAGAGGTACGCAAATATCGATGAATAATTGTAAAAAAAAACTTGCTATTCAACACTAAATGACCGGACGAAGCTGTGCAAATGTAAAAACTCAATTGGAATATAATCTCATCTTTTTTTTCTTAATTTTATTTATTCGTTCGATTAAAATGCAACCATGAGAAGCTTTTCTATTCGTCACTGTTAGGTTTGCTTAATTGCTACTCCTATTCAAATAAGCTTACCAAGAATAATTATCGTAAATAGCAGAGAAGTGCCAAACAATCCTAGACACGTCAGTACGTCAAAATAAGTAAAAACAACGATGCGAACGACATGTGTTATGAGATGGTTACATAAGTTGTACAGTACGCAAGAAAGAAAAGGAAAGCAAGAAAGGTTATGGAGGACGTTTACGAGAGTAGCTTCGATTCCCTAGTATTTAACACGTGGCAAATCATCGCACAACGAACATTATTTGTCTTTTCACTCGAGTGACAGGGTGTAGTGTATTGTCATTGAGACTTGATCGATTAACACCAACATGACATCTCCGGTTATTATTGATTTGGATAGTTTCAATACGAATGACATGATATCGGCAGCTAAATCTCTTGGCTATTTCTATATCCAACGGTCATCGGCGTCTTGTGGGGAAGTGGATGACGAAAAAACTCTACGGATACTTTGTGACGATTTTTTTAGTCAGTCTTCACAAATCAAATGTTCTTACGGTTCGAGTTATATCAAATCAGATCACTCGGATGAACAACCATTTGAAAAAGAATCGTTTATATTGAATCAAACAAACACCAATCCGGAGATAATTTTTCTGAAAAGTTTATTTCAAAAATGTGAGCAAATCGGTCAGCGTCTCGAAGAAATTCTCCGCCCAACGAATGACCCGTCGTCGTCGTCCTCATCCGCTGCATTGAATACACTGGAATTGAATCATTACTCTCAAACAAGCGAGGAAATAATCAAAGATGAGAATGACACTTTTTTGTACGAAATACATCTACTCTCAACATTCCATCTCGAATACTTCGATGCATCAAAACAGGAATGGAGATCCAATTTGAATCTGAACGATTACATTTTAGTTACATTGCCAAATTTAGCTTATCGATATACAAGTAGTGATTTCGATGAAGATCTCTCAAATTATACAATGAAATATTCTTACTATTCCCGAAATAATCTTGTGAAAAGACGAACTTATTTTCTTAGTTTGACAGAAAATACAGGTCTCCGATATTTTACATTCTTTTATCTGTATATTATGCAAGGTGTTCCAGCTGGATTTTCTTCCACTGCGCTAGCGAATTATCTAACGGGTAAATCTTTTTTTTCGAAGACACAAACATTTTTCTCTTTCCGAATCATAGCTGAAGGACAAACTTCTTCGACAATTGGAACATTCGTCTCACTTTCAGGTCTACCATGGGTTTGTTGCATCATTCATTGAAAACATCTTCATCCGTTCATTTCTAGGCACTTCAATTTGTTTGGGGACCAATGATTGGTAAAGACATGTTCACACGAGATTGTCATTCATATTCGTTTAGATCGTTTTCAATCGTCTCCAATGGGTCGTCGTCGTCCTTGGATACTTCTCGCACAAACATGTGCCTTTCTTGCTTCACTCGGTCTATTGTTTGTTGGCGACCCTCCGACACAATATCTGAAAACGTTAGTGGTCGCTTTCTTCGTGCATTCGATATTTGCGTCGATTCAAGATGCAAGTGTAGATGCTCAGGCTATCACAATAATATCCGTTCGTGAACGTGGAAGAATCAACGGAATTATGCGTGGAGGATTTCTGATTGGAGCCGCTGCTGGTGCTGCAGGCTTGTCGTGGATTTTACGGAATAAAGGATACTTAACAGCGGCGATCATCAATTCATCTGTTTTGTTTTTCTTTACCCTATTAACAGTTTTCATCAAGGAAAAATCCGATGATCATCTATTTCCATGTTCAATGAAAATAAAGCATCGAAGAAAATACCAACCAGTCTATGATTACTCGATTCTGAAGTTGTTCAAAGAACTATTCAAAGGATTATTATCAAAACAATCCCTGCAATTATTTATTCCAATTGTCATAGTTTATTTAAGTCAGGCAATATTTATCCGAGCTTATAATAGTAAGAAAAGTTTGAAAAAAGGCATGATTATCTCATTTGTTTCTATAAATAGTTCATCTAATCAACGTATTGGGATGGACCGACACGTCAGTTTCGATTCTTTCTGGTGCCTATGGGACCTTAATTGTTGTTGGTGTTGTACTTACCAGCGGATGGCTTGCTGATCGAATCGGAGCGCGTCGTCTTCTTCTCATTGTGATAATCATGCATGCTTGTTACATGCTCATTTCGAATCTGATCGAACCACTTTGGAACAGGCGACCAGTGGCGACAACGGTATTAATTCTTTGGAGCATGATGGATCCAACTCTCTCGGCAGCCTCTATGCCCGTACTCATGTCGCTATGTCAAAAGCATGTCGAAGGTAATGATTTGTATTGGCTTGAACTGAGTGTTTATCTGTTTTTGAATGAGAAAAGGTTCACAATTTGCAACTTACATGTCAATAGTGAATTTGAGCGATTTACTTGGAGCTTTTATCTCAGGTCAATTGCAACAATTTTTTCCCGCAAATGTTATCGGTATCGGCTGTGGAGTTCTCATCATTGTTGCCTTGATTACTGTGGCATTAAGTCTCTGGTGGAGTCGTAAACGTCTCCGAAAGGTGAAAATTGAAATGAAACCCTGATTCAACGTTTTTATCCGTCGTGCTTCATTCCTCAATGCCATTACTCGTTGAAAATATCTGTGCGAACATGAACTTCTTGAATTCTCTTTTTTTAAATATAGATAGAAAATTAAAGCAAAATAAAGGATATCTTTCTTGTCATAGTATCCAGACAGTATTTCCAATAATATTTTTTTGCCGTTGGCATACACTCGATGAATGAGATAATTTAAATTACACATACAAGTATTCGTAATAACGCGAGTTTTTCTTTCTTCGACTATCGATCATTTTATTTTGGAAAATTTCTTTGAATATAAAATAACACGTTGGCCAAATAGACCATCGTCAAATATGTGATCGAAGAACCAACGCCGTTCCGACCAGAATGTCGAATTGAATTGTTCAATTGCTTTCATGCAATGATTCGGCGACTTAAAGAAATCTATATAACAGGATAGCTTTAGCTTAAAATTGCGTAAATGTGGAATGAAATCTGTAACTAGTTGTTCCCATCGATTAGCATCGAAGTATTCGTTGAAATCTTCTATTTTCATATGTAAAACTTCAACCGATGGAAATATATTTCGTACCATAACTTCAAATTGGCCAAAATCAATGTAGTCAGAATCTACTGAGAGATATTTTAGGTCCTTCAATGGTATCGTGTATGATGTAATTTGTTCTTTGAAGTCTTTTGAGAGATTAGGAATCGTCAAGCGACGAAGTTTAGGTACGTACGATAAAAAGATATAAAATTCGGAAAAGCTGCATCGATCGTTGATGATGAAAGTTTCAATCGGACTGAACTCATTGGTTGCCAAAGGTAATAAATCATATTTATTCGTTTTATCAAATGAAACACGGCAATATTTCAATCGAGGTATACGAAATATTTGTTCATAAATCAAACTTTTGTTTTCAACCTGATGTTTGCAAGTAAGTATCAATGAAGTGATATTCGATAGGGTGGGTATATATTGCAGTAAATTATAAAAATATTTCGATTCACTTACATTATGAAGGGTTAGTTGTTTCAATTGAACTAATTTCAATGGAGCCGAATTGGGTGAAAATATTGAATCGACCATGAATGCACTCGAGACTTGCAAAGATTTGATTTTCTGTTGATGTGGAATAACATTGTTTGTGTAATAATGTTGAAAAGTTAATTTTGACATCGAGGAAAGCTCGATTTTGATGGGGAATAATGGATCGTGGAAAAGACGATAAAATCGATAGTTCAGACCGGAAAATGTTTTGAATGTATGGCAAAAATCGAGGTATTCAAAGATTTCGAATATTATCTCAGTGGACAAATCTTCAAAATACGTCATCGTTCGCATTCACGTAATCAATACGAAGAGAAACAGAAAAGAACGAGAGTCATCTATTGAGTAAAAGGCTGTGTAATATATACACGCACATTCAGGTTGGTATATACCACACAAATCGCAGAGGAAAAAACAAAAAAGCTTATAGGGAAGAAGCCCAGTGTGTTCGATTAGTAACCAAGTATCGTGAACTATTATTTTCCCCGATTGTGTTCATTTAAAATCGGATGTTGTGTATAAAACCACCTGGATATATCAAAGTGCATTTCAAGGTTATTAAGTATGAATCTTAATCGCTCTTATACTCTGCATGTTATTTATGGCATGAACTCTTTTTCTTAATTACTTGCTAGAATATATATATCGGCATCATTTATACAAATTCAATATGTGCTTAGATTACCATAGGATAGTGTTCCATAAGTTCGATGAACGATCCAATCCACATATGGCTAGTAAAGTACGGAACGAGCGAAAACAACAACAATAGTGATAAGGTAAAGAATTCGTATGAATGTTTCACGATGATCATCATCCTAATACAATCTTCTATAATGGGAGGTTTCACTTTAGTTTATTATACCGAATTACCTTTGTCCAAATTCGATATTTTATCAAATTTAATAAATAATCAACTGATGCACTTGGTAAAAATAAACTTCGCAAATAACGTTTAATATTCGCACTCGATCTATTGATGCCGCATATATAGTTATTTTTCAAACCTTGCCAAAATTACAAAGAAAATTTTAACACATCATGACGTTGCGTTTGTCGTGCATACGTAATCAGGATCTCAATCTGTGCCAAGATATGGATGATGATTTTTGACATGAGAGATACCTGGCAGCCAGCAAAACTTTGAAATATAACATAGCCAGAACAAAATTCAAATATCTTTTGTTGACAAAACAACCATACGTAGCCTCATGTAAACCTCTCGCCAAACCACGCTGTCGCGCACCGATGATACAAATCGTGAGAACATAAACAATTCGCCAAAAAAGTCCCAGATAGGTATTGCTACGCGTGTACTGAACAACAGCCGTACATAAGATAATGATCGTCCAGTCCTCCATTATAGCCAGTAGCCCATGATAATTGTCCGGTTCATTGACAAGTGCATATTTTGATACCTCATCACGGAGGATTTTATTGAACTTATGTTTTGCGAATGCGGCTCGATACTCCTTCGATGAATCGACTTCAGACATATCCAAATATGTTCGTTGTAACAACTGCAGCATATGAAACAAATGGCGAGTTGCTTAGCTTTCAGCAAATCAATGTATAGCCAGCGAGCTTCCGGATGTCGGAAACTTACATAATATCAATGTACTTTTATTTCGTTTGTCAGTGCGCACGACTTATACTCATATTTTTGTTGGAAACTTTTAATACGTGCTTCTATATTACGTCGTCTCACTGCGCTAGACAAACAAAGAAGAGTGACAATGAGTTCATGCATGAATCATATTTTTGTTGGAGGTTTCCAACGAATTCTCCCATACTGGGCTGCTTCGCTCTCATACTGTAGCAGCAAAATATTTTTGTTAGAGTTGTTGAGATGTACTTGCTAGAATTTTTTGCATTTAAGAACATTGCTGACAGATTGCTGGGAATTATATAATAACTCATATCATATAACAGCTTGGCATTGATTATGATAGTGGAACTTCTTCAGTATTGCTATAAACATATTTCGCACATTTAATCGGACCTACTCGTCGAGTTTAATTATGTCTACCTTGATAAATCTAAGGGAAATCAGTCACTTGTGGGTACTGGAGCAGTCTTGAAGAATATCACATACCGATTAAGGTCTCGCACTTCACATTTTAGCATTCTAATTACCATCTGTGATCGAATTCTGAATTCAATCTTAGCAGCTTCATTGGCCAAAATCCATAACATATGTTAAGTTTGTTGGAAAGTATATTATCCTTATTTTTCGATTATGTAGCTGAAGTGAAATACTATAGTAAGTCTTTACTTTTCAAGGAACCAGAAACAGCGAGACTACCTTCAAAACGATTGATGTCAGTGACGATAAACATAGTTATGGCTCTTCTGACGTAATCCTAAATCCTAATGATATTCTTCCGTCGCTTGAATAGAGTATATTTTATATTACATGATCGCGTTTTACATAAAAATAGTGAGGAAGGCAAGATTTTCTTGACTATTATGCGAAACAGACGTTTTTTAGTCTCTTGCCGGCCACTCAGATGAATAGGGTTGAAAGTTTTTTGAGTCCTTAATCGCGTCTGTCACCTCATTGCTGTCCAAAGTCTGCTGGACAATATCGACAAGTCGCTTCAGCTTCCCAGGATATCCAGACCGATCAATCGAAATGCGCAAACAACAATGATATAAACGGCACCGATCGAAATGCTCGAGAGTAATTAAATTATCAGTCGATTTAGCGGCTGAAAATGGTACTAAAGGCCAAGCTAAATGTACACTACATCGAGCTTCGATCGCACGTAGTTGAGCAAGATCTTTGTTGTTGATCAATTCCGTCACTTGTTTAATATCGATCTTGTTTGGGCTGTTCATCAATGGGTCATTTAAAAGAAATGAATCCAGTGTATGACCTTGATTTTTCAGTTCAGACATAAGACGAGATAATGTATCGTCTTCCTTGCTCCGGCCAAGCAATCTGATTGTAGCAATCGTACCAGTTTCGTCCTCTGTGAATTCGAATTGTACGCCGTTCTTCCCTAAAATTTTGATTGAGGACGATGAATTTTCTTGTTGGTGGTAGGGGCCAAGGGCGGATTGAAGCTCACTCAGTACTGGTGAGATATAATTATGCCAATTCGCCGAATTTACTAAATCTTCAATGCCAAACGCAAGATGTGTGTTCATCATATTAATGGTGCAATATAACTATAAAAAGAAAGCAAGTAAAAAGGAATAAGATAGGAAACATAAAAATATGCTTAATCGTAGATATTTTGTATTCTGTACTTGCTACACTTACTCTTCCTTCTTACTGGAGGTGAGATCTATCCTAAACGAGTCTGGATAGTTCGGTTAATACTATCATGAATACACTTTAGACTGTTACAATGTAAAAATAGAGCTGTTCTCTCCATTCGAATTTACACTCACATCTTCGCCACTTCTGAAAATACCTTGCATTTTTCTCACCTGGGCTAGAATACTGACAGGAAAGCTCGTTCCCAACGTCAAGTTCTTTTGAAGTTCATTGTGTTCTTTTGATAACCGCTTGTGAACTAGACCTATCGCACCAGTAGTGGTAAAACGCTTGCTGTAAATGATGATATCCACATTATGAAATGATTGCCCATCTTGACAAGCGTCGATCAATGTCACTATCTTATTGGGGAAATGTTGATGCAATTGTTGATGTATTCGATCTACATCAATTCGTGCACCGAAACGATTCTTCGACGTAAGTAGGATAAGGATCAACGGATTAGAACTTCTCATCCTGTTACATACATTTCTGCATTCTTGTACCAGCCTCGCTAAAATCCATTCTGTATTAAAGTCATCGGGATCCGTCATAGATGAACCAATAAAGTTTTCATGAAAGATTTTTTGTGCTAAATGCACAAACGGAATATAATCGCAGCCACTGCTGTTGATAAAATATGTGTTATCTCTGTCACGAAAGTAGAAATACTGATAACATTGATTAAGTACATCTTTCGATGCTGTTGAGGGATAAAGTTCGTAATTCTTCCAATATTTTTTGCCTTCTTCGCGTACCAATCGGTGAAGAGCATTGAACAGTTTGCTTCGGTTTTTCACGTAGAGTGGGTCGTTTTTGTTAAAAAAATTTGTGAGTAAATCCGAGAAATTGGTTACTGTTTCTGAGAAGAGAGGTCTTGCTGCACCTCCGAAAAACATTGGTTCGTGTATTCGTTCGTTCCAGTTCCATGCTCGTTCAATTTTGTTAAAATCGTTCGCGTCGCCGCGGCTTTCACGGACACCGTGCAAAAGCGTATCAATGAAACACTTGACTGTTTTGTTTTGCAATACCATATATTCAGGTATTGTAGCATCATAATCTGTAGGTTGAATTACTGATTGTAGAAGTAGTTGGAAGAAGTGTCTTAGATTCTGAGTAGCGCAGAGAACGGCGCTTTGACCTTCCGAGTTATTTTCTATCATATACCAGATATAGTCAGCGATAAAAGCAGCAGGTTCCTACGTATTGATAATAGTAGAGAACATCATTTTTAAATCGTGTTTTATAATAGAAAGATTTATTACCGTTGCTTGTTGTATAGAAATATTCAGTATAGATATTCTCGATTCGATCACCAATGCTTCATGATGAATCAGCTGTTGTATCTTCTGACATGTCTGTTTGGTGCGACATCTCTCTGAATCGCTGTCAGCGATGCTGTTCAATAAATTGTTTGAAACATTGTTTTGACTAAGCGCGTTCAAGCTGTTTTGTAGTTCTTTGACGATAGTATCGTAATCACATGCCATCGTAACCGGGATAAAATCATGTACAAGCCGGTAACACATAAACTGCATTCTATTTATATAGTTCTCATAGTACTCTTGACAACCTACTTCTTATCTTATCATATATTTTGTATCTCGGAAAAATCCAATATGTTGCATGATTGAGGGTGAAAGTCTCGAAGAGATTTCGTTGATGACTGATTAAGTTACTTGAGATTGCCCAATTTTTACAATATCCTATATTCTCCAAGCAAACACCGTATATTTTCTATTCTTTCAATATGTACCGAAACGTCCCGTTTTATGACTCACTCATTATACAATGGCGTAATGCAAATTATAACGAAATTCTTGCGTCATCTATGCAGGGTTTACAATTAGGGCGGTGGGAGAAGGAGGGTGGAAATCCACCCCATTTTTTTCCTTAGATTTGACCCTTCTTTGAGAAATTTTTCGTATATTATACTTTGGCATTTTATTGTAGTGAATCTTCTAGAAACAAGTAACAAATGAAGAAACCTTGTGTTTCCAAAGAGAAACAACGATTTTCTCTCCGGGGGAAAAGTATTTTTACTTCTTTTGGCAGAGTATGTTTTCTTAATTGATGATTTTGAAAGATATTATGTAAGTGTGATATAGACATGAATGCTGCTCCTGTTGTTGTTATTTACATCGTATTTATAGCGAAGATATACTTTCACTGTGTTAGTATTTTCTTTTTCTGTAGATAACATATCTTTAGTGTGTTTCATTCTTTTCATATGTGTCATCTCTCAAGGATACCATGGCTATTAGACTTTAGTCTGCCATCGGATGAATATTTCCTAAAGATATATGAACTTGTGCCCTATATATAGCTTGCGCTTTCTCATGAATAATAGTGAGATACAAATATATTCAACTTCAATTGCCATTCAATAAACAATCCGGTGTTTTCCATCCTACAAAGCTCGAAATGTCAAGTCAACAGCAAGGCTTTTGTCCTTTGTGTCGTGTTCCTGTGCAAGTGAAAAATTTCTACCTCCATTCTGGTCCAGCGAAAACACACAATATCAAGATATTTGCACATGAAAATGAAGACAATAGTGATGATGAAGATTGTTGAAGATCAAATCTATCATTCATCATAAGAGTCTCTTATGACATCGATATCAAAGCAGTAAGGAAGTGCACAATATTTTAGGCATTGATTAAATATTGCTCGATCAACGAACGTGTGGATACGAATAAATGTTTTGATATATCGTCAGTGGTCTGTAGAAGATGAATAATAAATAGAAATATTAGCTCGACATCCTGTCTTAGACGGTGTTTTGTCAAACAGTTGGAGAAACAGATAAACTATTCGTTACAGTGGCACAGGCTTTATACTATCGTAAAAACACTGGAAATGTTATTACTCATTATTCAGATAAGCATCGTACTATTTAATCCACAGACTAATGTTATCTTGATGTCGAATGTCGATGCCATTAGCAACTTAGTGGATCTTGCTCAGTTAAAAAATAGATAAACATACTCGCCATTATTATCTTTTGCATTTAACACGTATTTTGCGATAAAAATTAAATCAACAGAAGCACGCAATATGACAGTGACGTGCGCCACCTAGATTTGACTGTGATATCAGATAAAAGATATTTGATACACGAACAACAAATAAGCGAAAAGATGTTTTACCATTAAACACCAAATCATTAACCTGTACTATCGAGCATATTGAACAGGTACTCTTATCGAATAAGCCGTCTAAAATCGGAAAATGGAATGCGATCAAAGTTATCTGTTCAATACTCGCATGTCCTTGTCATTGAACTACTGATAATTGCAACATCTATCATTTAGTTATATATTGAAAAAAAAACAACGTGAACAAGATATACAGATTGGAGTAAACACGTAACTAGGTGCTATTTTGGCTACCTAAATGAAAGAATTATCGGATTTGTTTACGGTTTCCAATTATTCGACTGTGATAATGAAACTTTACTTGTTCAATACTTGAAACAAAATCCTTAGTTATACTTGTCGCCAACTAGATGCTAAATGAAAGGACTATCTTATCTCATTTCTCTATGATTCCAATGCTCTTTTAGCCGATTGTAATTCAGTTAACTCAAGTTCATCGGCAGCATTCAGTAAGGGACGCATCAGCATGGACAATCTCGTTTAGTTTTAAAAGTCGGTGTTTCAAGCAATGGGACTTCGATCCATGAATTTCTTAAATGCAAAGTGCGATCAAGGCCGACTTTTCTGGAAGGGATTTAGCAGGGTCGAACATTGTAGAGAAGCAGCACGATCTATCCTATTCGCAATTGTAAAGAACGGTACTCTCACTCATGATCCGTTTGCGATTTCAAATGATGATGGCAAATTCAAACAGTATTAGGATAGCAAGTGAGATTTGACCAATTACTCAAAATAGGTTCAAAAACTTTCCTAATGCGCTTGATGAATCATCTATACAGAAGCACACAAGTCTGTAAATGATCATTCGGACGATGTTTTGACTCCGATTGGTCGTCATGCGGTTAGTAAGTAACTTTTGTAGTGTATTTTATCTGTACATGGTTCTTTTAGTCTATGGTCGTGCTTCAACAGCGACTATTAAACATTTCTCGTACAACAAAATGACTGCTGCTGCTGCTACACTTCAATTAAATCTCCGGTATATCAGTATGGATGAAAGTGTGACATGGACTTGTCATGAAAATATCAATCTGTCGCTTGATCGGGTATAGACGAACGCCTCTTCTAGAAACTGAAATATTTGTGTCAATATTGTCGAAACAGTTGCATTCATCTCAGTATCACTTATTTTTGCTGGTGTATTGTATATTGCGGTATGAAAAATTATAAAGTGTACAAATGTTACAGATCTTTTTTATTCTTTTCTAACAAGACATGTCCTATTTCTCGTAATTCTGTTTTGGTTTTTTCGCCAATGACGTCTAAAAAAGTTGACTTCGGTTTGGTATGATTTGATTTATCCACCGTAGCATTGGCAATCGACGATATATAAATATTCCATATAGCACCAGCTAAACTTCCAACAAATGGTCGGTAATCGAGTGGTACGAATCGAAAATTAATAAACGAAATAAATGGCCAGTAACATGTTCCAGTTAGAAATGTTTTCACTAGATCATTTTTAATCTTCATCTTGGCTTCGCGAAAAGATCGACCGTTCAAAAGGGTTACCGAGACAAAAACAAGGCATATACCAAGAGGAGCAAGTAATGTATTAGTGAGCATTTTCTTCACAATTTGAGCACCCTGTTTTCCTATTGAAAAAAAACTAGAAATTGGATCGAATACTAAAATATCCTTTTCCATTTACCTGGAAATAGATTCTCGATGAATCTTGAAAGTGTGAAATTCCAAGGTGCAACAACGAATGTCGATGAAACACACATAACTAGAGAACGTTGCTTATCCCACCATGGTAGTATGGAAGAAGGTGGTGGATGAAACAGATTTCTTTGTTTATTTCTTTCTAAATATTGACAGATGAAATCTCCTATAGTCGCACTTGTGCCAATTCCGATCGTTGAGATCAAATAAGGTTTGACTAAATTTCGCCATCCTATAGTACGACATCGAAATATGAAAATTTCATTCAAATTACTGGAGACATACCGCGCTGATTACGTCGAATAGCTTTAGTGACACCGAACGGATTGACAATCATGCTGGAAAGAGATCGTGTTTGTTGTAAATGTCGACAAAACAAAACGAAACGATATGCCATACAAATATGTTGTCCTGATCAATACACCCAAAGTCCATGAATCTGTTTTTCTTCTTTATTTGGATGCACTCTTTTTATCTTGACGTCATATCTACTATTTTATTTTGCTTGTTTTCTTTCTATTCAAATCATGACTCATTTATACACAGAACATGAAGAGAAAAAGACAAGAATGCCCATATATCAAATTAATCATGATTTTATAGCTATAGAATATAAAATAATAGAAATGCGTTTATTTTCGAAGAAAAAGGGATGATTTTCACGCCTATCCAATCAACAAAATGTACTTGTTTACGAGAAAAAAGAAGGACCAGTTGGAGATCGCAGTGAAAATGTTACCGTTGTTAGCTATTGAACGATCTAATTTCTCGATAACCATCGCATTCTTTCAGTCGTTCAGCAGAATATTGCGTACATTCCGGCAACAAGAATTTCTCATGAACTCTCTAACATCATCTTTAAAAGTTAAATATAAACAAATAACAAATTGTCTGACTACTATCATCAAGCTTTGCACGTAATCACAAAATATACTGGACTCCTTGCTAATACCTTTGCCATCTGATTATAGAGATTCCAGTCGAAAATATCCACTGAAAGAGACGAACGCATAATCTATAGTGATACCATCTATTTAGCAGTAAAAAAGACTATAATGAAATGTAGAGATGTTTTTATTTTCTGGCACATGATTTTGTAACTGTAACATAGCGCGGAAAACTAAATGATGCAGAAAAATCAACTCAGAACAAACAAGACGTTCATCGACCATTCATTAGTATTTGAACAGCGTTTTATAGCCGATGCAAGTTTTTGGATTTGGGGTAAAAGCAGTTGTCAATCGATGAGCAGCAAACGTCATGAATGCCCGTCCGTCACCTTTCAAAATAAGGTCTAACTTGTTGAGAAATTGCATCACCCATTTTTGACAATCATCACTGCCTACACTGTATTTTTCACCGTTCAGAGGTACCTTCTGCGCCTTCGTTTTGATCTCTTCTTTGCTTAAACCGCATTCCCCAAGATAACAATAGAAGATAGGACCGCGATAACTGAAATCTGTGATGTCGTAAGAAACACGGTCATTTCTGTCGATTATCATTTCGTAACACCTATATTCGTCTGTATCTTTGAAATGACAAACTATTTGCCAATGGCTGACTGTCACACTTGGAACGTAGACACTGAGCTGAGGTCCTTTGAATAACACGAAAACATCAACGTTAGAAACCGCGGATCCGCCTCCAAGCATCGATCCTAAAACACCCGAAAAAAGACTTGATGCCATGAACCGTTTAAGCGTCGTTTGGTTGATTCTTCAGATGATTAAACTGTATACAAATCGGGTGACGTCGATCGGTGAAGTATTGTCAATGTATAAATTCAAGGCTAATACTTATTCGTACGTAAGCGTGATTATCAGTTCTAATCACAGTAATAAAGTCAGTTGGTTTGACAGGCAAGTAACTTCCAAGTTCTTCTTGCGACGAAATTTCAACACTTGTAAATAATATCTGAGGATTTCGTCTTATTTCACTTCATATTTATAGAATATACGTGTACTGCAGGAATATTCCTTTCAGTCGTTTGCTTTTCTCGCCTCTTGCATGGATATTTCCATTCGTTCTGTTAACTATTGTGCTCGTACACTCATCACATAGATGGTATATTCTGGCGATAGGATTCACCTATCGTCGTATATGGAAGAAAAGAGAATGGATTTGAGTCATAGTGATAGAAGAGCATTGGTCGATGAATTCCACCAGTGTGATGATGAAATCATATAACTAAATACAGGCCAAATTTCACTGAGAGTAGAAATGACGAGGCTCGCAATTTTATACTGAATCATTGGAAAAATCGTCAAGTATTTGGATTTTTCTCCATCGTTATTTTGAAAAAGGATCGATTTGCAAACTATTTCGAAGTTCTTACTAGATGTATTATCGGTAGAATACTGGAAATCAGAAACAAGAAATTTTTTGGTTATGTTTATTATAAAAAAAAAGACAAGTAGCTCATCGAAAGAAACGTTAATTACTCTAATTCTACTTTTGCCTGAGAGTATTCTGTCTACATTGATGGAACACGACCGATAGCGTATAATATGTCGCTAATTACTTTTCTTCTCGGATCTCAAAAGATGTTCGAGTCATCGATTCATGTTCATCTATATATATTCTTGGAAAGTCTTAAAAATAGACTACTTCATATGATCAAATAGCAACAGACAAATGTCAAATTCAACGAGTAGAACAACTGTATTTGATGTTATTCGGACGATAAATATTCTCAACGAGATGAACAAATATGTTTACGTTCTACTTTACATTCTTGGAACATGTGGAGCTGCTTTAAACATGATAACATTCCTTCAAAAACAACTACGAAACAAGCCCTGTGCTGTTTATTTCTTGGCCACATCAATAGTCGATCTTAGTACTGTAAATGCATTCATTCTGATCGAAGCTCTAGCCGCATTCAGTTCTTCGCTTGGCAATCGAATCTTATTGTCGAAGATCTGGTGCACACTCGGTAATTTTATCCGATTTATTTCACCTTGTTTATCATCGACTTACTTGACCTTGACATCCGTCGATCGGTTTTGTGCTAGTTCCTTAAATACCAAACTTCGCAGATGGAGTCAGTTCAAAATAAGTCGAATCGTGGTCATCATTTGTTTTCTCATTTGGGCATTACTTGCATTACATTATCCTATTGCCTATGCGGTCCGTGAAAATCCATCGACGATGACAAATGAATGTCAGGTTATACATGGTTCACCGACTATTTTTCTTATCATAGATGGATTGCTCTTTTCATTGTACAATGGAGTCATAACTCCTTTAATCTTGGCGACGTTCAGTATGTTAATTCTATTGAATATGAAAAGGAGTCGCAATCGAGTCAACCAACAGAAACATCTCGGGATGAATGGAACAAGATCAAATACTGGAAATTCGGGAAACGTGCGTAGTTATCAAAATGTTCATATGTTTCGAATGGTTATCGTTCAAATATCTCTGACAAGTATTTTACAGATTCCATTTGCTGTTCTCTTCATTTACACTTATCTCAAGCCTCTGCAATAACAGACCCGCTTGTCCAGCAAGTCTATTTTACATCTGCTTTCATAGCCCGATGGCTCTATGTTGCCAATTATTGTAAAACATTCTACGTTAATACGCTAACTAGTCAATTGTTTCGAAGTAGTCTTCGTCAGCAATGTCTTGACCTTTTTTCTCGACGTCGAACATTCTAATTATTTTTGAAATTGTCTATCGCGTTGACGTCTTTACGTAAAGTATGATAATAAATCCATTCTCGTTGCACAATGAGTGCTGAGAGTGAAAAAAATTACATGCACATACTGATTTGCTCTCAATCTAATATTCAAGTAGAAATTTTAGAGCAGTGAAGCGGATTTTACCGGATCGTTTTACAAATCTCGTATCATGAAACGATACTGTGTGAAAGGCTAAGTTTAACAAAACGCAAAATCCGTTGAGTAAGAACTGTAAGTCCGTTCACTATCAATACAGTTTGTAACAGTATGACTGCGACAATAATATACTCATGATGCGTTGAATTGCGTGATGGTAAAGCTATTCCAAATGTGCCGACAAAATAGAATTTCATACATTTTGATGTACCGACAGATGAACAGAGAAAGGAACAAGTGATGTTTTGCTTATTATCAAATCAACTTTTTACAGGTATTCGAATGATGAAAGACCGGGCAGAATTTGAAGTAGTCACGGATGGATCATGAGTTAATGTACCAAATGAACAACATTGTTTTTAACTTCACTGTGTGAATTCTTTTCACTAAATATCAGTGTCTGACAGACATTTTCTATCCGATCTGCTTTTGATGGTATGATCATGAAGTCGCTATACCATGTTTTAATTTACAGAGTATTCTATAATACGCAGTTTAACTTGTGCACCTTTTACCGAAAGGAAAATCTTCAGACACATATAGACTGCAAGTTACGGCAAACAATCCGTGTAAAAATAGCACTACAGCTTGCGATTGAAATCGATTACACGCGACTTTCTTCTAGCAGATTTATTCTAAATCATTGTGTCAACTATTTCTCACGAAAATCTATTGGTTGTTAATTGATTTCAACAATTGATTAGATGATATCAATCGCCATAGAGAAAAATACGTCTTTTTTTCAATATCAAAATCTTGATATACTTATAGATACGAGGTTAATCAACATTGAGTCATCCAAGTGAAAACATGGATAAACAAAATTCAAATCGAATTTGACCTCATTTTTTATATGACATCTACGTTAACAACTGATTGAAATCAATTATATTCGTGCTATTTTAATCGTTAATTAATCGACTAAAATCAGGTTATATAGGTTACATGACTATACGATGCATTGCATGCTGTCAAACAGTTGTCCTCTGAGTGCATTATTTCAGTTCATCTGACCTAATAATATTTCTCAGTTAAATTTATTTATTCAGCTAATAAATCTGGATAATTGGCGGTCTACTTTTGAGAAGTTATTTACTCATAAACATCGTTCTATGTTTGTGAGAAATTCTAATATGATCAGCTTAGTCTTCTCGTATCCATCAGTACTGTTGATTATCTCTATTTTGGTCGATGATCTGATGGTGTTTGGTATTATAAAAAAAGGTGAAAATTATGAGAAAAGAAAACCAGATTCATAAATAGAATTTTAATTAGAAATTTTTCGCTTGATGTGATGATGCTTTAGTACAACAAACTTTGTTTGTGACATAAACAGAAATCATCTTTCTCTATAAAGCTAATCTTCATCACCATCAACTAATATAATATATCTATTCTTTCACAGACATACATATCTGGGGAAGAAAATTATCGAAAGGTATCCTTTGCCTATTTTTCTTTATTACTGACATTTTGATCATGAATTTCATCGAACACGATGTCGCATACGAAGCAAATAATACAATCCGTTGTCAGTATATATACTTGCTTTTCATTTTTAGAATTATTCTTACATATTGATCATATTGCATTACATACTTCCGTGAAAATGAGCAACTTGTTGGATGAAATAAATTATCTTTATTTTGTCTCTGGTATTATCGCAGGATACGGTAGCTTGATCATCTTTGTTCTTGGTATAATTGGCAACTCAATCAATATATTGGTATTTTCTTGTTTTTCTCAATTTAACAAAGGAGCAAGTCCGGTTTTTCTCCTGTTTTCGTTTGTCACTAGTCAAACATATCTTCTGTTTCTTTTATTACCTCAAATTATAAGTCAGCTTAGTGGAGTAGATTCACTTGTAACATACCTTCCTCTCTGCAAAATACGATGGTTCGTTCCAACGGGTGGTGCAACCATTTCATTACACTGTCTAAGTTTAGCGGCTTTTAATCAGTATCTTCTCGTTTCTCGCAACGTTCGCCATCATCAATGGATTAATCAGCGACGAGCTGTTTTGATGAGTTCAATAGTTGTAATATATACTGCAGGATTGATGAGTCCAAACTTAGTCTATTATAAACACATAGTCACTGCACCTAACAAGACACAATGCACTGTGATTGATCCTATAGGTAAAACGTATGATGTTTACAACGGCTTTGTCATATATAGTCTGCTGCCAATTATTGCTTTATCTACATTTTCATTTCTGACGTGGTGGAACATTCGAAAGGGAATGGTACGACGTGCGAAATTGGAAAGATCATTGGCTCGTTTGATATTTGCCCAAATAATAATGGTTCTTTTAGCATCAATTGGATTTTTTATCCGACGAATTTATTTTCTCTATTACATCAGCACAGGAAAGAGTCCACTGCAATTGGCTCAAGAAACTCTCTTTAATATGATATTCTTACTGATTGGCCATATTATTCATAGTTTTTCATTTTATACGTATTTCATTACTTCAGAAGTATTTCGTCAAAATCTTTTATCTTTCTTTGGCAAAAGAGCGACTCGAGTCGAGCCCACCGGTACACGTATGAAAACTATGAGTCGAATGAAATAGCCTGACTGTGAAATAAAGATATTTCTCAAACAATGGCGATATCGATGTTTAGCGAGTCATAAGTGTTGTGTCGTCTGTATTCGTCATATTCACTCTCAGAAAAAAAAAAGAAAATGGATGCATGATATATCATTTTACGCATTTTCTGTATGTATACAAAATCTTATTGCTCTCCTTCTGCGGCGATTTTGTTTGACAAAAATAAATATCTTGGCAACTTGCTTACCAGACCATGTGTTCATGTAAAATTCAGTCATGTAGACTTTAGACGGATAGACAAAGAGTAATCATGTGAGAAGAACAGGTAAGCTAGATAGTGATTCGATGGTGACTTTGACGACGAAATTTACTGTTGAAATACCACAGCAACGACATAGAGAATGAAACCTCTGAGATAAGCAATAGGTGGTGTAAAATTGAACATATGTGTATAAAATAGCTTAAGAAATGTCTTGAAGAACGAGCCGCCACTTTCTGTACCATAACGGCGTGTACGAATCGCAAAGCTAATTAAAACTAACAGAGTTGCTAGCACGTAGATTGTCATACCTGAAGCATTGTGAAAGTACGTGAAGAAATCTCGGAGAATCATTAAGTTCGATATCAAATCCCAAGGACATTTGTATACTATGACGGGTATAGCGCAGTCAACAGCTAATATAAAGAGAAATGCAATGTTAAGATATAGTCTTCATCGAGGAGCATTTATTTTGCTAGTAAAACATATAACTAAGCCACGTTCAAAAGCAATACATGCGCTAATCTATATAAAAAAGTTATTAAGTATGAAGTAGAGCACTTTTCGATAATGACAATTATATTCAGGATATGGACCGCAGGTCCTATTCATTACTATCTGGGAATGGTAGTCGACGAGTTGAATGGAGAACAAGATGATATTTGATGACAATGACAAAATAGTGTATATGATTGAATAAGTACCAACGTTTGTACGACGTATTCATTTACAGCCAATGAACAATTCCAAACTAAGAATATTATTAAATAATGATAAATCAAAAGCAATGGCTATTGTAATACAGAAAACATACGTTGTGTTAAAGCGTGCTTGCCTCTAGTTCATTCTTTCGCAAAATTCTCCAACATAACACGGATTGCAATGACAAGAAGTCGCATTTGACCTCATGTTTTCAGTACAATATTCGTTATTACCACAATCTACTCGTCTTTGTTCGCGGAGTACAGCCATGATTTATCTAGACAATAACAAAAATTCAAATAGTCGTTTGAAAGTGATATTCACACCCACAAGTTCTTCTTAATAATAAAAAGACTTCGATGACAAGAAAAACAAGGTTTATCAATCATTTGACACTTGGAAGGAACGCACGAGCTGCATGTTCTCTCACCCTCAAGATTTCATAAAGAACTAGAAAGAAATCAAAGTATCGTCAACCATCGCTCACAAAATCGACGTGATAGTGGAATTGTTTTTGAATTACATGCCTTATGATTGTGATTGGAATGAGATTCGATAATGCTTCGAAGAAGCGCGTTAACACAATAATCCATTGTCAATCATCAAAACTTATACTAAAACCCAACGTTTCAGTCATGGGATAATCAAACATGCAGCAGTAAACTCATATCACTCACTAAAACTCTACTGTACGATATTAAACTGTCTGGCCCTGAATCAAACGAAAGAATACATTCAAGCTTTGACTAGCCTATTTTTTCATCCAAAATTAGATGAATATGTCGTTCGAAATCATTTTATCAATATCGATAGATCGTGTGGTAGCAGAATCAATCAGTGAATCGTCGTTGGAAGATCCGATCGGAGCACTCTGCATATATAACATCAAGAGTACACATCGTCGTACAGCTCTCAAACTAGAAGGATGGACCTATTTTGCAGATGAACGCGAAATATTGATCTTGCGTTGTGTGTTATTTACGATTAGATCAGTCGAGCGAGCGAATAATAGTGGCCGAATGGTAATATATTTTGATGAATGCGAAAAAAAATAAAAAGTATTGTGAAGTATAATTGGTCATGCACACATATTATGTTTGAATTACAGATTATTTGCAAACCCATTATGAGTCAATAGAGCGAGATAGATAATCAATCATCTGAAATATATTTTAAATAGGTGCACTTTTCAATAATTGTATGCTTCTTCGATGCGTATTTCTAATGCGAAATATGAATAACAGTATCATCGATATATATGTAGAAGAAAAAAGTATATCCTTTTGATTATTCAACCAATTATCATGAAAACTGCATCGTGCGCTTTAGCATTCTTTGTGGTGATATTAGTTTCGGGCAGTTCAAATGCTTGGGACTGCTACGAAACATGGAGTCGATGTACTGGCTGGTCTTCACCTTTAACAGGTATTCTTTGGCAAAGTTGTCCATCCTACTGTCAAGGTTGCAGAAATGCAGCAACGGGAAGCTGTGTTCAAGTCGGTACTACAACGTGTAATGGAAAGCAGGTTCAAGCATATCAATGTCAATGTTCAGGAAGGTGGACTGGCTCAAACAAGCCAATCTGTGTTCCTGGCGGACTTGGTAAATGAATTTTAAGGACGAAAATAAACAAAATGATAGCTGCATTATGTACTGGTTTTGTTCGCTTTAACCTAATACAGCTATGAGCGAGATTTAACCTTCGAGGAAACTTTTTATTCTCCGTATGCGTAATCGCATTATACGAAATTAATAGAACAAAAATTCACTAGTGAATTCTTTCGAATTTTTGTATACGTTGGTTATACGTGTCAGTGACGTATAAATTCATGTCTGCATCGAATGCCACATCTCGTGGAAAGTACAATTGATTGCTTCCACTTCCCATATGACCAGTGCCGACTATTGTAATACCAAACACTGAGTTTGGACAGAACATTTGTATTCGGTGATTATCGCAATCCGTTATATATAGATTACCATATCTATCAAGGGTGATACCTTGAGGACTTTGTAACTGTACTGAAGTGTTACCAGGTCTACCTGGAATGCCAGCATAAACAACTTTATCGCCGTAACCATCTCGATTCCATTGGATGACCGTATGAGCTTCTTCATTGGCAATGTATAAGTTATTTGCCGTTTGATCGAAATATAATCCAACTGGACTATATAATTGAGGTGGAGCAATACCAGCTCCATGGCCACCCTAAAACAAGAAATAACTGAACAAAGATAACTTTCGATGAAAATCTTACAGCGACAATTATTCCGGTTGTGTTCTTTGGATCATATGTGGGTGGCCATTGAGTTATTCGCTGGTTTTCAAGATCGGAAACAAGTATATTTTTATGTGAATCAACAATGACATTGCTTGGATAGCTAAATTCAGTCAATGCGTCACCACGCATTCCGTTACCAGCAACTGTACTGCCACGTTTTGCGCCTTTTTCCCACAATTGAATTCGTTGATTACTCCAGTCGGAAACGTAAACATTTTCGTTTTCATCTGCATAAACACCTTTTGGGCCATCCAATTTGTCTGATGTCGATCCGCTCCTATGATCCGATTGACCTGCCGCTACTTGAATCTTACCATTCGGATAACGTTTCAGTACATAATTGTAGGAGACATCAGAAACGTACAAAATTTGCGTTTTAGGTTCAATAAATAAACCCGACGGGAAACTAAAGTAATTGTCTTTATCACCACCCATTATTGTTATTCCGTTCGGATTCCATTTGAGATTGCCTGGACCTACAATCACCAAGATCTTTTCATAAGAACGCCAATTGGACGATCATCTACTTACAATCACTCGATTCTTTATACGTCAGTTGACCTAGATTGAAAAATTAAGAGAAAAAAAGCTACTTTGCCGACGAAATCGTGTATGTTTAGTTCAGTTACCTTTGTTTATTGTGATCAATCTAAACAAAACAGATGTAAAAATGTTCGTTTGAACTGAGAGAAGATTTTAAAACGTACGTGAAAACACATAATAAACTTCGCAATATCATGATGATTCCTGTCGCTTGAAAAGAATGATATACTGAAATATGTTCGCTTTTCTCACATTCTTTTTAACTGAGTTTTTCATTTTTATCTTTGCTCTATCATGATTAATGTGCAGTACATGTTTAAACGAAAAGAATGACAAACGAAAAATAGTTTTTCTCCTCGACAATAAACGGTTACGATGACATCTGTCGTCAAAAATTCTTTCTTATTTTAAATTCATTAATTTAAGGTGAATTTAAAACAATTAAGAGATCAAATCAACACAGACGATGATCAAAATATCGCGCGTTCGCTTTCTTTTCCTTTACAATTTTTGTTCTATCGATTGTTATATTGACGACGTAGAACTAATGAAATTTAGAACGTTCCTCCACGAATGGATTCACTCGCGTATAATTCTCGTCTACAAGTACTTGTTTAGTGTCTAGCGTATCGATTACATTTCTCTTACGTACAAATCCATAAGCTCTACATATCTGCAATGTTATTAGAAGTTCGGTTTTATTCTGAATCGCGAGTATATACGTGTGTGTGTGGTATATAGTAAATTGTTTCCAGAGATTCGCCGCAGTAGCGATGTATGTGAAAATAACTAACTTGATTCTCTAACAGATTTTTTTATTTCAGCAGTAGAGTGCGAAGAAAATTGTAACTATTTACGATTAGGAAGTGTTAACTACATGTTTCTGTATATACCTGTAGGGAAAATAAATGTGAAGTCAAATTTCTACTGAATGTTCTCTCCTGTAACTTCAAGATCATCATACATGCCTATAGAACAACTAAATCCCTTCAGTTCCGAGAGACTACACAGTTTGACGTCAGTTTTTGATAAACGAATCAGACATATTCGTTGTGCGAGATCCAAATGTGAATAATTATAGCACATATTGTCTTTCAGATGACAAGTGTTACATATTTTCCATCTAACATTCTTTTCGCGTCATGGTATTTTATCCAAATGATTTAGTTCGCCAATTGTACCGGAATACTCACTGAATAAGCGTCAAATCAAAGGGAGTGATACTCTTTCAAATTTCAGACTATTTGCATGAAAATACAATCTACACTGCTTTTGACATACGTATATCTGCATTGTTTGTACATAAAAAATAATTTACCTACAAATAAATACATACGTCGCCACACACTTATGTATAGTGTCCTATGAAACCTTGACTGTATGTTATCGATAGCTCGTTTAAACTCTTCCCTTGTGTTTCATCATATGGTGTGTTCTTTGTGCAGATTGTCAGTACAATAATCTGTCAAGAGTCGCTGCTGTTCGTCACTGCTTACCCATACTTTTACCGATCAGAGTAATACAGGATAAGAAATAAAATGACATTTGCTACTAATTTTTCAGCAAGTATACCAATTCAAAATCCAAAAGTGTCCATCTGAAACTGAAATGTCATGATGTGTACAATTAGAAGACCAATACAACTGGATCCAATGAATCCGATAATGACCGTCAACCTCTGTATTCCACTACAGCACAAAAAGGATATCAACCAAACGCACTTTTCCCTGTCTATTTTATGTCTTAAATACACTTACCACATTTTGCAAATACAATTTTCAACAATGTAACAAGCATCAATCACAATAAAAAAAGCTATGAAGAGAAGGCCACGTTGTGCAAGAGAGATTGTTGCAGGTGCTCCGATGAACGAGAACGATGATGATTGAGTTCAATACAGTGATACTCGTGATTACTATATAAGCGACGTTCTTAGTATTTTCTTGCTTCATTTGTCTGATTGATACCGAGCTTTGGTCCAATGATGATGTCAGATGCATCACCAACAGCTAATGTGATGACAAATGTTACCGCAGCGACTTGCTACAAGACATTTTGAGCAGAAAGAGAATTGTTGTTTATGTGAGCTGCGAAAAAGGTTGAGGTTTTTATTGCTCACCATTCAGCCCTATACATAAAAGAAAATTATCTAGTTAAATTCAAAGTATGAATCGAGCTAGTTGCAACGATTGACAAAGAAATCACCATATGATTGTCACACCACTATTATAAAACTATCTGAAAAAAGCATCGTTTGCATGCTGAAAGTGAGAGAATGCGTTTCAATGATTGCATCATCAGTCCTTACAACAACACTCAGAAATACACCCTCAAGATATACACTATGTAAAATATCACAATTGATCCGTTCACAATCGTTATGGACATAGATGCTGCATGAGTACCGATCTGAAGTTTATACACGCAGATGTAATGTGATAGAATGTTAACCAGATTGCCGATGACATTTGCGATTGTGATCGGCAGCGTTCTCTTTCTGCTGTAGCGGTATACGTGCGAAATGGCAGGCTAAGGGCAACAAATGGTACTATCAACAGGAAATCGCGTATATAGATGTGAATAAGTTCGACAATATGTTCATTCTTTTCAAACCTTTAAAGAAAGTGTTTCTAAAAATGTCGAGAAAAACCTGAGATACAACACGTTGTTGGTTTCGGTTCACGTCACACATAGAGATAATTCAGAAGACGATTTTCTTATCTGTGTCTTTTGTTCAGATTGGTCGAGCTTTGGTAATTTGAATATGGCGCGACACGCTCACATAGCATCAGTAGTGAACAATTGGACCCGCTAACAGAAACTTGGACGCTTATTAATTCCATGAAAATGCCAAAGCGCTTACATACAGCATCAGTTTTACCTGGTGGGAAAATTCTGGTTGATGGTGGCTTTTATAACAATACTTTGGCTTCAGCTGAAATCTACGATCCATTAACGGGAAACTGGACGAGAACGGGATACATGAATTTTCCACGATATTCACATGAAACAATCGTATTATCCAATGGAGCAGCGTTAGTTGTTGGTGGAACTGATGACGGGACTGCATCGGCTCATTGTGAAATGTATGATCCAGTATCAGGAAACTGGACAATTAAAAGAGATTTCACCAAGCGACGATACGGGTACACACTGTCATTATTGCAGAATGAATCAGTGTTCGTGACAGGTGGAAGATGCCAATCTGATGCTTTGTCTATTTGTGAATTATTTGACATAGCAAATGGAACATGGTCTCTTGTAGTTAGTTTAAATAACAAACGATATGAACGCACACAGCAACTGTTTAACCTAACGGAAAAGTAATGGTGACTGGTGGTGATGACTATACAGGTAATCTAACAAAGACAGAATTGTACAATCTATCAACTGGCAATTGGACAATAATTAGTAACTCATATGCATCACGATATTCTCATACAATATCGGTATTACGTAGCAGAAAAGTATTGATTACTGGCGGACAACTAAATAACACTATCTACGACACTATTATTTCAATTTCCGAAAACAAACTCATATAGACGAGCCGAGGAGAATCTTCTGTTGATAAACACAGCAATTTTTGAAAAATTTTTAGGTGTGTTGCATTTAAATATCCAACACAATATGATGAACTCGTATATGTATAGTTGTTTTTCCTTTCTTTCTCAATTTTGCGCCTTTTACAATGAATGAATTTTCACTAAATTTAATTTTGCTTATAACATATACATATCTCGGGAAAGTACATCAATCCAATCAATTGAAAAGCTGAAAGAGAATGGCGCAAATCGAGGTTGTTTCTCTCTTCTTCGTTCTCTGTGGTTTATTGATGAAATGTCATGCACATGTGATCATCATGCCGACGATTTCCATATTATTTCTCATTCTCCATTTCTTGTTGATCTTGATGATGAACAACAAGGACCTGGAAAGGTCACGACTATCCTCGACTTAACCAACCCTGACATTGTTTTCTGTCAGAAAAATCTTTAGTCTCTTGGTGTTCATGATATATTTTTCGTCAACGGTATCGTTTCAAATGCTTTATCAAATCGTCAGCAACTTTATTCTATTACTATATCGAACGCACACTCTCACCAAAATCATCGATAAAATATCAAATCTTGTAAAACTCCAAAGTTTTAATTTAAACAACTGTTCACTTATCGTGTGACCAAATCTTAGTACATCGAAGAATCTGATTGTGATTAGTCTTCTAAACAATCATTTAATTTCCCTCAAAAGTTTGGTAAGAGTCAAATCTTTGTTACTTCGCGAAAATTAATTCATTGGGATTCCATAATGCTCGAAATATCTGAAGCACTTATTCGATTTGATATGAATTATAATGTAGTCATGGATATATCTTACTTTTTGTTTTGTAAGAATATTATCAAAATCAGAATTACCGAATACGAAAATATCTCATGTGCCAAGAAAGCATCTTTGATTTCCCTTATCTTCAATTATTGCTTATCCAAAATAATGCAGTTCCAAAAGAAAAAGCTGGTTCACTTCAAATACATGCCCTCAATCGACTATTGAAACCTAAGACCGATTTCTTTGTCCAGTCGAGAAAGACTGTCACAAGTACTATCGACTTGCAGACAAGATGACAAATAAGTGACAGTGCACCAAAATTCATTTTTCGTTTTCATCGTCTCATAAACAATAAACCCAATATTACATGAAAGAACAACATCAAATATGCTTTTACCTGACGACAACCGCATCATACATAAAATCAAGCATAATATCAAATTCATGGTTGAAATCATTGTATTGTACAAGATATGATATTTCAATATTAAAACAGAATAGAACACTAAGTAAAAGGGACATTTCGAAAAGTGAATTGCAATCAAAATATACTGATATAACAAATGGAATACGTCGTGAAAAGAAAAACAATATAATACCTTCCATATATTGCTAAATTGTGAAACATTTCCATAGAGTTGTACAACAATTAATGGTCACATCTGGAATAAGCTAAGTAATTCTTTCATGAATAATCCCGAGATGTTCATAATATATTCTCAGATCATCAACTTCTGTGCCAAGGAGAATTAAATGTAGAAAGGAAAAAATGTTTTATTCAGTTACTCTTATACATAAAACTCAATGAATGAATGATTGTTATGGCATATGTAAACGGGAGAGATAAATGAATTCTATTCGAATGTAGAAGGGAATATTGTGCATACTCTTGCGAGTTTTCGAATTCTCAAGCCGATTTATTGAAAAGAAAGGGAGAAAATGAAATCATTTGAAACCATTAGAATCAAGAATAACCACAAACTACCTTTGATTCAGTCTTCGGACGAACGAACAAGTATTTCAATTATATGTAGAAGTTCGAGCTTCTTAATGAAACGAGTATCATTGCGATTTAAATAAACATCGCTGGATGCGCTAAACTCACTTGATTCTCTCTACTTCATGTGTAATTACACAGCTCATAAACAATTTCCGGTACAAAAAACCTTAATCCAAGATCGACACTATCGATTGTAACAGCGCTGGCTATTTTTCTCCGTAACAATTAATAAAAAAACAGTTTCCTTTTGTATGAATCAATTCACCTTGACAATATATGGATTTCGCCATATAGATGTATCACTACTTGAATAACGAAAAACGACGACTTTAACATGGAATGTGAATTTACTCGCTGAAATTATCTGAAAAGTCATTAGAGAGATCAGTGTTGAAAGAAAAAGAAAATTTACAATGTACACACTTTCGTTTCGCTTTCTCCGCGATCAAATGAATTGAATGGGTATCTCTCTTTTATTCATTCATATGTAACTGACGAAAATGCTTTCGTATTTGCACACTTCTATTGATCGATCGAACTGCGTCCGAGGGTCATTACAAATCAAAAGAAAGAAAAACAAGTTCATCCTCTCCATCTTTTTTGATTGTGCTCTGATTTTCGTAGCTGATGAATTTATTCATTGTGTACAAGAAACTGATATTCAAATCTGTAGCCGTACCAACCGAATTGCAGACGAGAAAAAGATGTGACATAGATACTTCCAGTTGCAATGTTAACTAACAGACAAAAAAAAAGCTATCAACTGATTTCACGTTACTGATGTCAAGATTTTCATAGTTCATTTCGTTGAATTATTGTCATACTGGAATAATCAGTTGCCTAGTTAATTAAGACTAACTGAATTGTCTAATCTGTTTAATTGTGCATCATCTCTATTATCACAAGCTGTTGCACATTGAGAATCATTCGGAGTGGATCGAACAATATGATCTTCTTATTGGAGAATAAACGCGTAATGAATGTCATCGAGGATAATACTACGTAGTTAGACGACCGTTTTTGTGCTATTGTAATGCTATTCAGCTGATCCAATCGAAAGACTTCGATTCTATCTTTGAATCAATTGGCTACGCACAGATTCAGACTACAATCATCAAAGATAGCATGTTGACTGTACTACAAGCTTCACTCACACCCTCTTTTGATCGATAATTGTAAAAAGTTTTGCATCAAAATAAAACTTGATGAATAACTATACACTCAATTGTGAGTGATAGTAGTGTACATCTATGACATATTGACACAGTAATGGTTTATATACTTGAACCATTATAGATCAAATTGATTATTCATGTTTCTCTCCATATTTACTTACAAACTCATCGTCCAGCTACCTAACACGAACATAATACAATATCCAAGTGAAGTTCAATACATATATCTCCATTTGCTCACGAGATCAATCTTATTACCAAACATCCACACCCTTACTCGTGTTTCTCTTAATCAAAAACATTCTCATGTTCATTGCAGACACTGTTATCCTCCTCACATTAGTGCTAGATGATTTTGTAAAAAAAGTATCAAACCGATAAATATTGGGCATCTGTCTATGCATTTACTGTTGTTATAATAATTTTATCTAACAAAACTAGTTTTTTTCTCTTCTCACTCAGCGCACAACCGACATACAACATGTTTTCTAATCAAGTTTCTGCGATCTCTCATGTAATCTATCGTTCAACATACTTCAACCTATCTTCCATTATATTTTCTGCTCTTTCAGTCACAATCTGATCAACCCCATCCATCACAAACAACTGATATTCAATCAAAAATACGGTGAATTATCAGATGAGTTGTGAAACGAGAACAATGTCCTTCTTTTATTCTTGTATTTAGTTGTGACTACTGTCGAAGGAAATGGAAGAAGATTCTTTTGACGAGTCTAGCAACGGTATTAATTATACCCATAACCGTTATCGTCGTAACAACTATGGCAAAGAAAAACTCAGTCGTATTGGTTACTGCAACAAGACTAACGAAAACAACAACAACCGCGAGGACTACGACGACCACTACAACAGTTTTAGTAAAAGGTCTGAACATCTGTTCATTTTGTGCACACCTATTGCATAGTTACACTATGATACACTAAAGGACCAAATTCCTGAACATAGAGTTCGTGTGAGAAAAATAATTCTTCGAATGAACATCATTTGAAGGCGTGAAATGTATTTAGAATGGACAACGGCAGCAGAACTAAACATTAATCGGAATCGGCATACTGCAACTGTATTGCAAAATGGACAAGTATTGATCACCGGTGGACACAGTCACAAAGGAGTTCTTCGCGAATGTGAACTATATGATTCTTCAAGAGATCGATGGATACTCGTTGCAAACATGTCTGCCCCAAGGGAAGATCATACTGCATCTTTACTGGCTAATGGTTTAGTCCTAGTGACTGGTGGTAAAAATTCTGACGGAGAGGTTTCGCCTGCTGAACTGTACAATGCATCAGCGAATACATGGACAAACACACAAAGCATGATCCATCAACGGTCTAAACACACAGCCACTGTACTTAAGAGTGGAAAAGTGCTCGTTGCAGGTGGCTCGAAGAAAGGAGAAGCGTATTTTCATACAGCTGAACTTTACCATCCAGATATTGGTATTTGGACAGTGACTCAAAACATGACCTGCAGCCGTATGTATCATCAAGCATCGTTGCTGAAAAATGGAAAAGTCCTAATCACTGGTGGACTCGGTTTTTGCTCCATAGGTATGTCATCAAAGACGAGTGAGTTGTACGATCCGACAGCAGATGCGCGGATAAGAATGAACGACATGAATACTGATCGCTACGGTCATACAGCAACTGTGCTGCACGATGGAAAAGTGCTGGTAACCGGTGGACGTGGTCTAGCCGTAGGGATGCGGAACTCTACTGAATTGTTCAACCCATTTACGAATCAATGGACCACAACACGTAGTATGAACACCTCACGCTATGCTCATTCAGCGACTTTGTTACCAAATGGAAGAGTCTTAGTCGTTGGCGGATACTCCGATCACTCTTTAAACACTGCTGAACTGTACAATCCATCAACCGACACTTGGGCGGTCACTGGTAATATGAAAAATCAACGCTCTTATCATACAACATCTTTACTGACTAGTGGAAATGTCTTGGTTGTTGGCGGATCTTTCGGTTCTCGTGATGGAATCACAGAAATATACTAGTGCGATCAAACGAGAAGAAGTGTTGTGGTGAATAATGCATGTAAAAGAAATGAGAAGTTCTATTTCTAAATAAAAACTTGAGAAATATGATGAAAGTTGTTCGTTTTTTAGTTAATGTTAGAAAAATGCGATTTTTCAATCAGAAACTTGAAATTTACAGGTATTCATCTCATTCACTTCTGCTTTCATTCGTACTCTTACTTTATACTGTAAACGTTGACCTCGGATAATGACTTCTGTTTGGTTCATAATGTGAGTAATGAAGTACAAATAAACATGTCTAGAGGTTCCGAAACACAAAATCAATGAGAAGATCAACTTTGTCGAAGAAATCGCAGATGTCGGTCTAAGCCTATGTAGAATCATTTAGTCTGAATCGAGCAGGTTTTCCGTTTGTATTCGGTCTCCGTTTGTTCACGTCATTTGATAAAGCAGCTAAGACAGGCGCGGCACCGATGCCGAGTGCAAGCGATCGTAGTCGTCAATCTGATGGCAGGTAGGTCAATTTCTTTACTAGAAACTCGGATGGAACTTTTTTTCTTATTTTCCGTTAGTCATGGGTTAGTTGCGTTGGTTATAGCGATCAGTCGTAGCCCTTCATTGTTCGAAATTCTTGGGGGACAGACTGGGTAAGGAAAGTCGTACACAAACAAATTCAATAAAACTTTTCGTCTAATATTCCACAGGGCAATCGTGGATACTGTTATATACCGTACGATTATATGACAGATGCAGACCTTTGTCTTGATGCGTGGACAATTCGCAAAGTTCCCAACGACGATTTCGGCCAATCACATTGGGATTACAATGACAATAGCAATACAGATAACCGTACAATTGAACAGTTCGATGGAGATGATTTTCGAATAAACTTTTTCGATAACGCTGCACGTGGTTTTGATGGCGATTCGCAGAGTAGAGATGACCCTTTTCATTACGGCGACGGCGGAGGAAACAATCAGCAGTGGGGCGGAGACGATCGTTCTAATTACAATGATGGTGAAAGATATAATCAACAATGGAATGGAAGTGATCAGTTTACTTATAATGATCGAGGAGATTATGGTCAGCAATGGAATAGAGATGATCAATCTGAACATCATCATAAACACGGTCACCATCGTCACCATCACCATCACAAACACTAAACGAAACTCTGTGTACATATGTTTATGATGTCGTATGATGTAGTTGTGAGCGTGAGAATAAATCATTCTTTTCGTTTTCTTCTCTCCATAATAGTTGTTGTTAGCTTTCAAAACCCAGACAAGGTTGCTCAACGCATAGATTTCAACTTCGAGCTATATCGAAAGAAATGAGTAGTTAACAGTATTATTGTACTATTTATTAGCTCTAGCCATGGAACTCAATCATTTCTTGACGTCAATACGATCGGCCACAACTCGATTTACCTGGCGTCAAAGAATTCAAACACGTTTTATTTTGTTTGGCACTTTGTTTCTGTAGAAATACTCTCCCGACGAAAGAATATTTCGCTACACTTGCCTTCGCACATGCAGGTATGCATGACATTTCTATTTTGCATTGAAGCATGCAGTGTCAATAAGGATTTAAAACCTGATTTGGTACTCTCATGTGATAATCTCTAGACACTTCGCGACAGTTCCTTATGCAAAGCCCGCAGCGTATACAATCGTCCTGTCTCGAACTCTATTGCGGTTTCGATGGGTCGTATAAAAGTAATCAGTTTGATTTATCAATCAGTAGAAGATTTATTTTTGATCGGTATATTCTTTTGTGTTGAAAATCTGTCTTGCATACTTCTTATCTTAGTAATTTAAGCAGATTTTTGCTAAACAGTAGTACGCCACAAACATCTCAGCTACTCCAGAGAAATAATACATAGAGCTTAGGGATTATTGAACCTACATACTAAACCAGGGTAAGTCTTAGTACGGTTCCAGTGACAGTATGGTGGATATAAAACTATGAGACAACTAGGGTTACACTCTCAGCTAAATGATTTTGCAAAAATGTATCAAACACATAAATCTTTGAGACATCTGCTCATGCATTTACTCTTGTTCTAATCTTTCTCTCCGACAAAACTAGTTTCTTTCTCTCCTCACTCAACTCACAATCACCATACAACATGTTTTCTAATCAAGTTTCTGCGATCTCTCATGTAATTTATTGCTCAACATGCTTCAACCTATCTACCATTGTATTTTCTACTCTTTCAGTCACAATCTGATCAGCCTAATCCACCACAAACAACTAATAGCCAATCAGAAACACGGTAAAGTATCAGATGAGTTGCGAAACGGGAGCCATGTCTTTCTCTTTTCCTTGTATTTAGTTGTGAATACTGTCGACGAAAATGGAAGAAGATTCTTTTGACGAGTCTAACAACAGTACTAATGATGACCATATGCGTTATCGTTCCAATAATTATGGCAAAGAAACACTCAGATCTATTGGTTACTGTAGCAAGACGGACAACAACAACAAGTGTTACCACAACAACTGCTACGACAACAACTGCTACGACGACAACAATAACCACTGCTACAACCATGTTCACGAAAGGTCTAAACATCCGTTCATTCCGTGCACACGTATTGTATAGTTATACCCTACTACGACAAAGGATCAGATTTCTCTCCGTAGAGTTCGGTTGAGAAGAATAATTCTTTGAATGAGCATCATTTGACGGTGTAAAATGTGTTTAGGGTGGACAACGGCAGCAGAGCTAAACATCAATCGGGATTGGCATACTGCAACTGTATTGCAAAATGGAAAGGTATTGATCACTGGTGGATACAATTACAAAGGAGTTCTTCGTGAATGTGAACTATATGATTCTTCAAAAGATCTATGGGAATTCGGTGCAAACATGTCTGTCGCAAGAAAGTATCACACCGCATCTTTATTGACTAATGGTTTAGTCCTAGTGACTGGTGGTGAAAACTCTGACGGAGTTCTTTCCACTGCTGAACTGTACAATGCATCAGTGAATACATGGACAAACACACAAAGCATGATCCATCAACGGCGTGATCCCACCGCCACTGTACTCCAGGATGGAAAAGTGTTCGTTGCAGGTGGCTGGAACAAAGCAGAATGGCATCTTCGTACTGCTGAACTATACGATCCTCGGACAGGTGTTTGGACAGCTGCCAAAAACATGAACTGCAGTCTTGCATATCATCAAGCAACGTTGTTAACAAATGGAAAAATACTAATCACTGGTGGACTCGATTTTATCCCCATAGGTACGTCCAAAAAGACGAGTGAGCTGTATGATCCAATAGCACATGGGTGGATCAGAACAAATGACATGAACTTTGAGCGCTATGAGCATACAACAACTGTGCTCCAAGATGGAAGAGTGCTGGTAACTGGTGGACTTGATCTAGTTGGAGAGATGCGGAACACTGCTGAATTGTTCGACCCATTGACAAATCAATGGACCACAACACGTAGTATGAACACCCCACGTCATGCTCATTCAGCGACTTTGCTGCCAAATGGAAGAGTCTTAGTCGTTGGTGGACAGCCCGATCGCTCTTTAAACACTGCTGAACTGTACAATCCATCTACCGGCGTTTGGACAGCCACTGGTAACATGAAATATCATCGCTCTTATCATACAGCATCTTTACTAACTAGTGGAAAAGTCTTGGTTGTTGGCGGAACTTTCAGTTCTCGTAGTGGAACTACAGAAATATACTATAGTGAGATGTAACTAGACGAAATTTTCTCTTGGATTATTCATATGAACGAAATGAGAAGTTCTATTTCTAAATAAAAACTCGAGAAATATGATGAAAGTGGTTCATTGTTTAGATAATCATAGAAAAATAAAATTATTCAATCAGAAACTTAGAGTTCACGAGTTTCAATCTCCTTCACTTGTGTTTTCATTCGTACTCTTACTTTATAATGTAAACATAGATCTCGAATAAAGGGTTCTGTTTGTTCGATACTCTGGCAAATGAAGTACCAATAAGCATGTCTAGAGATTCCGAAACACAAAATCAATGAGAAGATCAACATTGTCGAAGAAATCGCAGATGTCTGTATATAAACTTATGTGAAAGCATTTCATCCGAATTGAGCAGGTATCCTATTCAAAAATTTCTCTCTGGGAACTCGATTGATCATTCACGATGATAGAACGTTCTGTATCAACAAAGATGCAATTCTGGGATAGACGATACTCTCATTTTGATCTTATTGATTTTTGTTTTTCATAGCTTTCGAAAATACCAAATAAAAATTGAATTTTCTTATGTTATATATCAAAACATTAATTATCATTTATACGGAAGACTAAATTGAGATTTTCTTCGCAAATCTAGAAATTATCATCACAATGTCTCAAACAACATTTCAGTTCCTAATAAATGAAATTGTATTTTAATGTTTCCATTACCATCGATATTTTTTGTTCACTTACTCATTTGAAATATTCACAACAAAGTCTCCAAATGAGAAATTCTCAATTGAAAAAACAATCAGAAATCTCCTTTGTTGATCACATTGATCGAATAAAAACACACGTCATTCACTTTATCTATTTCTTTCAAAATATTCACTTTGACAATTTCTTAATCTTAGTTCATTATGTTTGTACAAAGTAATAAATAATAATTGATAAGTCCTTCTCCTTCGTTCTCTTCCTAATAACTCAATTCCATTCATTTCGAATGATTAATTCCTTTTCTATACCAAATCATCCAGTATCTCAATTACAAATATTAATCACGTTTAACCAATCATTTAGAAATAGTTCTCTTTTATAGATTTAATCGTCGAAATGTTTTATTTCATAATAAATCGAAATGAAATTCTTTAGAAATGAAATATTTTTATCTTTTCATGAGAAAATAACAACGAATGTGTGTCAAAATACAATTAGTCTTCGAATATTCCATCGAAATGAATTCCAAAGTAATGTTTCTGATCTTTTCATGCGATGAAGAAAACAAAAATATGAATTTTGAGAGAACAGAATTATTTTAGAATTCAACAATTCAAATTT